GTTTCTTTAAACTGACACCATTTTTAACCGTTTTTGCATGCGTAAAAAGCAATTTATAATAAGTTTTTACCCCCATTTTTCTCACACCGTTTAAAAACGTTTTAAAGGAAGGATTTTAAACCATTTCAAAACGTTTTAAAGGATGGATATTAATCCATTTTTATCCATTTATTATTCTCCTCAAACTCAAATATTCCAATTCTAATATATTTGCAACCTGTTATTGTAAGCCTTTCATAATTTAAATTTGAATTCTAGTAGATTACCTTACATAAAGATATAGAAATATGATTAGAGGTTGTGAAGAGTAATCAGTTCCTTGGTTTGACACAAAAATTTAAACCATTAATGGATAAAAATGTGTAAAACCCCATTGATAAAACAATTCTTATACCGTTAATTTAACGTAATTCAATACATATATATTTATTTCAACTCCTCTTAATGAATATCTAATTAAAACAAAATTTTAGGACGAGTCATCAAATGAAATAAGATATTTAATTCTTACTTTCACAGACAGATCTTTTAAGTAAACTGCATGCAGTTTAAAGGAGTGACCGGCTATGTAAGGTAGTTGAACTGAGTATGCAGTGTTGTTGAAAACTTCTTTCGGAATCATTTGAGACATATTAAACGTTTTAAAGTTCTGTAAATCCTGAGTTTGAGCGCAACGTCGATGTTTAAAACTTCTACTTTGGGGGTGGATACGTTTTCAGAATTAGTTTCTTCAAATTATTAAATAACGTCGACATCAAATGTAAAAAAGTTCTACAATAAACTACAGACGTCATGTATAGGAACATGTTGAGAAAATAAAAATTAATCTTATCATCGAAAATAAGTAATCTTGTTTAATTATTAGTTTCTATTATCTCATTATTCTGATTTCACATTATTTGCAAAGATGTTCGCAGATTTTCTAGAATTATTATTGAAAAGACGACATTTAAAGAATTTGAAGAAATCTGCGAATAAATTCAATGAAAATTAGAAATTCAATATGATAATGAAAACGAAATAATCGATTTTAGCATTGATTTATTGACAAATTTCTTTTGAGAAATATGTTCCTAACCATCTAATTAGACTACTGTATAATTTTTATTTTATTTTTCGTTGTCGTTATTTAATAATTAAAAGAAACTAATTCTTAAAACGTATCCACCCTGAAAGTATGAGTTGTGAACGTCGAATTTGCGCTCAACACCAGGATTTACAAATCTTTAAAAAGTTTAATATTTCTCAAATGAATCCGAAAGAAGAATTCCACAACACTGCATACTCAGTTCAACTACCTTACATAGCCGGTCACTCCCTTTAATCAGAAATATCACAAATTTATCTATTAAGGTTTGTCTGAAATTATGTTTACATTCCCTTAATGAAATAAAAATAATGATTTGTCCTTTTTCCTTAACGCCCCTTTCTTTATCTCCGTATTCTTACTTGTTTGGAATCTGTTAACAAAAAAGAAATTGAGTCTTTGCCACAAACTCAAATTTTCTAATCTTTTCAACTGATGATATATTTTAAAATCTAAATAATTGGTCTGACAGAATTCATAGTTTGAATAATTTAAGGTCTACGATATTGGGTTGCAAATATATGGGAGTTTGTGAAAAAAAAAAAATAATTCCATTTTAATTTTCAAAGTTTTTATCCACTCCGATGTATTTGTTAAAAGTAGGGTGTATGAAAAAGATATTTAGATATGTATGATTATTGGTTCTAATTTGTATGAGAGTGAATGATACATTTTTTGTCATGTAATCTTCCTCTAAATAGAATTTGTACGAGGTGACAATAAACTCGCACTAGAACAGCTTCTATCCTGGTCCATATATTTATCAAAATAAAATAAAAAACAGCTAGCAATTGGATTAAAGAAATTTCGCACTTTATAGGGCCGGTTGCTTCGCAAGTTGGAAAATGACATTGTTCATCATGCACTGTAAAAAAAAAGTTACTATTCTGATAGATATATGTCAAAAATAAAAGGTTTTTAGACAATAAATCGAATAGTGTGAATAAGTGAAACTCTAACTTCTGTGACGAACAGAAATGTAAAAAAACATCTTTAAAGTGGAATTGTAGAAACGTTTTAAAGTGTCTAAAATAAACAGTTTTTAAATAGTTTTGTTTCAAACTGTAAAATATAATTCGTCTTATGATGGTTTATGTTCAAACGTCTTATAAAAGTTTAATTTAAAACGATTGTTATTGCCTTTTGAAATATTTGTTTAGAGAATGTTCATTGAGACTAATGTTTAATTAGACTATATTGCTTCAGGCGCGCAACTAGGGGGGGGGCCAGGGGGGCCAGGCCCCCCCCTAGCCTGATTAAGGGGGGGGCATGCCCCTCCCTTAAGAAGTCTTGCCCCCCCCTGTAGGGGGGGCAAGAAGTGACAAAGTCCACCCTGTTTTGCAATTTAACGATTCATGAATCCTGACCCTAAGGAAATTTAAGAGCTCTTATCGTAAAATAAAAAAAAGATAATTGAGCGTTAGTTTATTGAGCTTATAGTTCAATCGATACAGCACTTAATACACCATATACACACACACAGACCCCCTTCGTCTCCGAGCCTAACTACTGCCGTAGTAGTTGTTGTTTTCATTATTCTGTTTTTTTTCCTGGGAAAGGGAAAGGGGGTTTATTAAGTATTTTTTAGATATTTTAACTATCAGTTCTGCCACTTATTATGATATTGCTTTAATACTGTAGCACAACTATAAAATTAATCCTTCGGCTTCATGTTCACCGCAAATATTGTGTGATGTGGCATATTAAAAAAAATATTTTTCACGTAAAATCATGAATTTTTAATGAAAGGCATTTCTTGTCAGTTTTTGAGTACAATGTACATATTTGATTTATGGATAACTAATGAAAATTGATACATATATATATGTAATTTGTATTGTAAATTAATTATTTTTGTGATTTATACCAGAATCAGGGGCGGATAAAGGATTTAAGTGAGGGGGGGGGGGCAAGATTTTTTAGGAACAAAAAAATTCATAATTAGGAACCAAAAATCGCGGCGCAGGCGAAAATTTTTTTTGACTTAAAAGACTCAAAAAGAGTGAAAATTAATGACTAAAGACTAAAAAACTAGATTTTTAACTTTTCACACATTATAGTTTATCAAGACAGATATTTTTCCTGTTTTGCACTAGGGTTTCTTTCCCAATTAAGCATGCTATTGAGAATTGCTATTCTGAAAATAGGAACAAAAAATTCCAAATTCAGGGGGGGCGAATTTCCCCCCGCCTCCCCCCCCATGTATCCGCCCCTGACCAGAACAGATTTCTTGTTTTATTTCATATCAGATGTGTTGACTTACTGAATATCAGGTTGGTAAGGTTAGTTTTTTATTGTTTAAGTATAGTAGAACACACATTTTTCTTGCCCCCCCCTAAAAATGTTAAGGGGGGGGCCAAAAAATTTTTTCGCGCTTCGCGCGACATATTTCCACTTAGCCCCCCCCTAACCAAATGTCTAGTTGCGCGCCTGTATTGCTTCGACTAATTTATATAGGACTGATTTTCATGCAGGATAGCTCATTAAATCTTCTTCGACTAAAGCTTGATTTGGATAATGTTCATTTGGGCTAACTTTTATTTGGACCGATATTTGTTTATGGGTGAATGTTCATTTGGACTAATATTACTTCGACTAATTTTAATAATGACTAATAAGATTTATTTGTAGAATTGATAACCATTATTGCAATGGAATGGAAGGTTTTTAAAATTCGGAATTCACATTTACAATATATATTTTCTCATTTTACAATGACTCCTAGTTCTACTGCAGCATATTTTAGGGCGATTGATTAAGTAATAAACTAGTTGAAGAAATCCAAATATATTGAAGCTTAAATTCATATTAAGCCAAATGAACTTATACTTTATTTTATTGAGAAAATGTTCAGTCAAACTGAAAAGTTTTAAATGTGACAATTTGTTGTAAGATTCGATTTGTAGTCCAGATGAACAAGTATGAGAATAAGAAACAAAACATTTTTAAAGCTTGGATGTCATCCTTATTTAATGATTCGGTCAATTGAAAAATTTTTATCTGAAAAGACTTGAAATAATTCAATCAGACTAAAATATCCTAATTTACCAATTTCTGGCAGAAATACGATATTAAATGGTTAAAATGTCAAACGAGAAAAAATGTATTTTCTTCAAAGTTTTTAAAATTAAAAGTTTTGCGCATAAAACTTATCTTTAAAACATCTTATTTGTACTCATTCATTGTTTTACAGAAAATGGTCAGATTTTGGTTATTTTTCCTTGGCAATTTGCCTTTTATATTTTTCAAAGCCAAAAAATGGAAGCAATTTTGAAGTTCGAGCTTTGATTTTTTAAAAACCTTTCATTAGGGTTATTACAATCCTATCTCTTACTTTTTTTTGGAATTTCCAATTTTTAAATTGAAACTTTCCAAGTTTTATAAGTGCCAAGTAGCAATTGTACTAGTAATGCTTTGATTGGCAGTTTCTCTTGTTTCCATGTTTTTGTGTATCGATACTGTTTAAAAGCTTGAAACAAGTCAAAATTGAACTCGAAAGTCGTCTTTAATATATTAATATAATGATAATCATGAATAAAATATTTTTAAATTAAATTCTAATACTATGGCCGTAAAGATATCTCCACATAAAATTTTGCAGCAAATTAGGGATTTCTGACTGAAAGCATTTTATGTATGTTTTATAAAATTCTCATTATATCATAATAATCAAAACCATACGGGTTTAGCATTTACCCCCTTTCATTTTCGCAAACACTGGAAACTAAAGTAGCTAAATATGTGTACATTTATGCCAATGTATGTATGTACACTTCATTGTCACAAATTATGCATTTTTTTATAATTTTCTTTTTGATAATTAGGATACAGACATCCTCCCACACCAAATATAAATATGTAGAATTATAAACATCTTAAAAATAACAATCACTGTAGAAAAAATAATAACATGTAAGTGTGAAGCCATTTATTAAGATAACTAAAGTTATAATTTTTTTGGGTTTTTGGCACTTTGTTTTGAGAAGTGCATTGCCAGCTAAAAAAATCACAGAAAAAGCCGCTTGAGTTGTAGTCATTACCATAGCATTATTTCATCCGTCTGAAATAGAAGAAATGTTTTCTTATTTGTTAAGATTTGTGTGTTTTCCCCTAACTTTTGTGTTAATGTTGTTTTGCTAAAGTTAGAAGTACTTTGTGCTTGTACTTCTTATTCCTGGTGTGTGTGTTTGTTGTTGTTGTATTTTGTATCTTAAGGCTTTTGAATGGTGTTGCTGTTGTTTTTGGTATTATTGTTTTTGTTACTACTGCTATTATTTCTGGTGCGGTTGTTTTTGTTGTTGTACCTTTGCTTGTATGTTGTTCTGTGTTTGTACTTTTTAACTTTTGAATAAAGTTGTTATTATTATTTTGTTGTTGTTGTTATCATTGGTGTTTTTTTATACTGTTGCCGTTGTAATTTTTTACCTTTAAGCCTTTGTTTGAACAGAGTCAGTTCCACCATCCGCTGCCTTAGCAGCTGCAGCTGCAGCTGACTTCTCAGTGATCCCAAGGCAAGGGACCTCCCTGAACACATTCAATTTTAGACTTCTAAATATACTTACTCATCAGTCATCATATAGCACCAGTCAGATGAAAGTGTATGCAGATAAGCACCAGACTCTCTCAAATCCAATTGAGAAGGCCTAGCACCGAATGGTTAGAATGAAAACCCTTGTATTTGACTGGTTTCATGATGAGTTTGCTGCATAATATCAAATTGTTCAGGTGTATACAAAGATTATTTTTGATTTACCAATGTTTAAAAATGGCATAATAGACATGAGCTAAAAATATTAAGCATAAACTGGAGTTAACCGTTTTTTCATCAAAATTTTAGACTAACCTGCTCAAAGCTTCTCTGTACTTAGGATGGCTGATAGCGTAAACCAGGGGGTTTAAGCAACAGGCAGTCTTAGCTGGAATAAATAGAATATTAGTTACCAAGTAAAATAGAAAATATACAGAAGTATGTATATGTCTTACCAACAAAAGCTGGAATTTGGGAGACAAGAGGAGTAATAATGATCTGGTTTCCGAAAACTCCAATAAGGTTTACAATAGCATAGGGAGACCAGATGCAGACCCATAGCAATACATTGGTAATAGCAACCTAGATTAATAATTTGTCTTTGATATATTTCAGTCAGTCAGAAATAAAAAGGTCAAAGAATGGTCAAATTCCAAGAGAGAAAAGGTAAAGTAGAGTTGTCTGAAATGGCATTCTTTAATGAGTTATCAATAATCACACTGACAATATTTTTAAAAATAATTATACCTTTGCGATTCTAACTTCAGCGCTCTCCTTAGCTTCATCAGCATTAGACCTTAAGCTGTCAACATTCATCTTCTTAGCCTGGGCCTTCAGTGCAGCCTCGTGCATAACAACAGCCTTCACAATCTTGGTGTAGAAGAATCCAATCAAGGAGAGGGGAAGCATGTAGTTGAAGCTGAAGGCAAACATCATGTAAGATCTTCGATTCCATTCCTGGGACAGATAATCGTAGCCGCATGTTACCAGAAGTCCTTCAGCCATGTATCCTCCCCAGCCAAAGAAGGGCATCATCGAGACAACTGTGGAGTATCCCCAGATGCAAATAAGAATCAGCAAAGCCTTTGGTGCATTAATCTTTACTCCGCTGAACCCTTTGACAATAACATTGTACCTAGGATAAACATCAAGTTGATTTAAACTCAAATTTTTGTATCAGGCAAAATCTTACCTGTCATAGCCAATAACAACCATGGTAAGAATAGAAGTAGTTCCACAGATAGCTCCGATCATAGCATAAACCTGGCATCCGAAAACTCCCCACATCCAGTATCTCTGCAAAAATAAGTTTTTATACAATTTCATCAATTAGTAATAATAATTATTATATTCTTCCGTTTTGTGCAAACCATAATAGTTTATTTTTATTTTTACCTGGACAAAGGCATTAACAGTTACAGGCAGTCCCATAGTACTCATCATTACAAAGTCAGAAAACGCCAGGTTGACAACAAAGAAATTTGTTGGCGTCCTTAAAAGATAATTGTTGTACATATTTTTACTGTCATTGTGCTGACGGTTGATTTAGGATAGACTAGCAAACTTATCAAAGTGCAAAACAAAAGGGCCAAACCTTGATGTTAAACCTTTTATAAGAACATTCATTCGATTCATGTTAGACTTCATTGGATGTATAATTGTTGCCAGGAATATCAAACTTCCATTTAACCCTATCTCTGCTGGGGTACTTGAAAACCAGGATATGCTGGGGGGGGGGGTCAATTTGACCCCCCTCTAAATCCCATGTTTGATGTCCAAATATGACAAATGATACATCATTGGAAAGCTCTTTTGCTCTACTTTTAGAATCTGCAAACAAATTTTCAAATTTGCAAAAATATAATTTTTTATCGCAAAATTCAGTTATATAGTAAAAATGTTGCAAAAAAAATTTGTCCAAAAAATGATAAATTATACATTTTTGAAAAGTCCTTGACCATGCCATTTCAAATATTCAAAAATGTTTTCAAAATTTTAAATAACCTGATTTTTAATCAAGAAAAACTAAAAATGTGCAAATTTCCTTTGACAGGTTGTTTTGCAAAAAAATTGCTATTTTTTTTGCAAAACTTGTGCAATTTGTTTCCTTCTGTCAAAGGCTTTCCAAAAAGCTAAATCTTATCAAAATCTGACAAGTGGAAGTGGGTCAAAACAAAGATTTAGTTTGTTACAGGAAAAAGCAGTCATTCAGGCAGTGTACCTGAGGACTCAGGCAGTTAGTATTAAGCCCGGTTTTAGGCCTAAAGGAAGAGCTGTGGTTATGTAAGAAAAGTCAGAAAATTTCAACAGCCTCAGACCAATACTTTTTGAGTTATGTAAAAAAACTTAGAGGGGGGGTCAAATTGACCCCCCCCCCCCAGCAGGAATATGGTTAAGGATTTAAACCTCAATTATAAGTTTTTGCAGTGAATATTGACTTCAGTCGCTGAATATCAGCGCTATGCTGGCTAAGTTTTAATCAATTTTCAAATATAAGTTTTTAAAACATTTTTGGATAAGCAGAGGAAGTTGAGTAAAATGCATGATGATTTAGTTTAGAAAAAGCAGGGAATGAAATTTGAGACTTGCGGGCGCACTGGCTGGTTTTGAAATTTTGAGCTCTGGAGTACCTGAGAGACTTTGTCTTGAGGAAGATGAAGATGACAAGTCCGTTCCCAACAAAGTTGATAATCCAGAGGAAGAAGAAGAGAATTCCAAATACATGAGGAATAAGAGGATGGCTGGGAGGGAACTGTGCCCAGTGCTTGCTAATCACTGGCATTACCTCCTCTGGGATATCAAACAACTGGTTGGTTCCTACAAACAATTTTATTTTATTTTTTTCCAATTTTAACTTAATTTAAAAACCTAATGCCCCAACCACCAAAGCGATAATAAGGGATAGAATCTGTGCTGAATTTCTCAGAACTGATGTTTAAGATTTTATTCTGTCTGCAACCATGGTCAAGTCAAACCGAACTGGAAACATTTGCTCAAGGGTATAATGACAAAAGTTTAAATTACCCTTTATTGAAAGTGTTCCATTCATCGATTCACACTGTTACCCTTTTAATCGTAGTTTGAGAAACAAGATATTATTATTTTTCAATCTTAAACCTTCTGTAAATTACACATGTTGCAAGACAATACAGAAACCACAATTAGAAATTATCCCTTTTCAAATAGAAAACAACAATATTTTTCATTGTTTAGCTTAGAAAAATGTTGAAAGGATACCGTTGTGAATCTGACATACCTATCTTTGAAGGAATGTCACATGAAATGCCGTTCACAGTTCCTTTCAGAGCAAATAGTTACCTTTAGGATAAACCAGGTTTAAGGACGTGTCCATATAGTTCCCTTTAGGATAAACCAGGTTGAAGGACGTGTCCGTATAGTTACCTTTAGGATAAACCAGGTTGAAGGACGTGTCCGTATAGTTACCTTAGGATAAACCAGGTTGAAGGACCTGTCCATATAGTTACCTTTAGGATAAACCAGGTTGAAGGACGTGTCCATATAGTTACCTTTAGGATAAACCAGGTTGAAGGACGTGTCCGTAAAGTTACCATTAGGATAAACCAGGTTGAAGGACGTGTCCATATAGTTACCTTTAGGATAAACCAGGTTGAAGGACGTGTCCATATAGATTTCTCCGCCTCGTCCCATGATCAATATATTTCGATCTCCAGGTCTGATATAAATATGCTTTACAAGGCGTTGACAAAAAAAAATAATTCCCTCAAATACCCAAAATGTTTTTTACCATTGATTTGTAAAAGAAAAAATATTAACAAATAAAATTTTCTAATCCCTATATCTGTGCAACTTGATGGTGAAAACCTTTGATTCAGACTATTTAATCTTACAGAATTTATAGTTTGAAATATACAACCCAAAATAAATTGGTATTTTATGGAAAAATTAAATTCCTAAAATGTTGTACTTCTTGCAAAAAAGTGTAGAGTGGGTATAAAAAATTATAAATAAACTTTCCCAAGGGGTATTTATATCAAGTTAATAATAAAACCAAATCCCAATAATTTTAGAAAATTTATATTTTTTTTAATTTACCAGGAATAGTACAGGAGGCGGTGTGTACTGGCTTAAATGTTGTTTACAAATGAGCAAGGATGGAAAACTGTTTATATCTTTTATACTAAACTGAAAGCAGCTGTAGGGCTTCCATGCGACAGAATTAGTCAGATTATAAAGATTTGAAGAAACACACTATTATACAAATATGACAATTATATGCACCTAATAATTAGACCCAGAGGAAAAAGCTTTTGAACGAGATTGAGTCAAATAATAATTACCAAGACTACATTCTAGCAAACTTTAAATTACTGAGCTTAACAACATACTTATTACAACAACAAAAGCATCTAAATTATATTTTCTTCGGAAAATTCAAATCTTAAAGCTTTTCATCTGTAAAATCTGTAAAATTCCCGATTCACAAGAATACCCTATAAACCTTCATCTAATCAATAATGTGGAAGATAATATTAATATATTGGTGTTTACTGGCCTGACACGTGTCAAATTTAATCATGCCTATATGCTCTACTATGCAGTTTTAAAGCTCTAGTCACTTTTCTAGAGAAACCACATCAAAAATAATCAGTTTTCAAAATTACAAACATGGATACATCATACTTGACCAGACAAAGATTTGAAGGCTACCGTTAATAGTCGGGTATTGCCTTCTTTGCATGCGTGGACAGCGTTCTACATCTTTGATGAAAGAGTGGTGGAAAGCGTCCTACACCTTCGATGAAAGAGTGGTGGACAGCGTTCTACACCTTTGATAAAAGAGTGGTGGACAGCGTTCTACACCTTCGATGAAAGAGTGGTGGACAGCGTTCTACACCTTTGATAAAAGATTGGTGGACAGCGTTCTACACCTTCGATGAAAGAGTGGTGGACAGCGTTCTACACCTTTGATGAAAGAGTGGTGGACAGCGTTCTACACCTTTGATGAAAGAGTGGTGGACAGCGTCCTACATCTTTGATGAAAGAGTGGTGGACAGCGTCCTACATCTTTGATGAAAGAGTGGCGGACAGTGTTCTACGCCTTTGATGAAAGAGTGGCGTACAGCGTTCTACACCTTTTTGATGAAAGAGTGGTGGACAGCGTCCTACATCTTTGATGAAAGAGTGGCGTACAGTGTTCTACACCTTTGATGAAAGAGTGGTGGACAGTGTCCTACACTTTTGATGAAAGAGTTGCGTACAGTGTTCTACACCTTTGATAAAAGAGTGGTGGACAGCGTCCTTCGTCTTTGATGAAAGAGTGGCGGATAGCGTCCTACACCTTTATTAAAGAGTGGCGGACAGCGTCCTATTCATTAGTTGAAAGAGTGGCATAAAGCGTCCTACACCTTTAATGAAAGTGTGGCGGACAGTGTCCTACTCCTTTGCTAAAATATTGTCCGAAGATTGTCCTACTAAATTGATGAAAAAGTGGCGGACAGCGTCCTCATTTCTTACAATAGATTTTCTTTTTCTGTCGAGTATTATTGTATTCTAATTGATAGAAAACGTCTAACTTCTGAGAAGTTTAAAAGTTTTATGGCTTCTGATCCGATACCATGGTTCAGAAAATAAGCCACAATATTTCTTATTCTTTAGCATAATTACTTAAAACGTAGAAAACTAAACCTGTTTAAATCTATTAAATTATAACATATAATGTATTATAATGTTCACAGCTTTACAAAAGATCTAAAATATTATTTTATTTATCACTAGCTTGGAAACCCAGCTAAGCCAGGACTCTAAATCTTCGCCATGAAGGTCAACTCGTAGGGATTCATAAGTTATACTTATACACACAAACAAACACAATGACACCCAGACGAACAAATAAAACGGAGAATACTACTTTACATATATTTAGAGGCTAGGCTTTTAGGGGGCTTTGCGCACATCTTCTATTTCAACTTTTTATTGTGGCTTTATCTGTGAGCATCTTCTCTTTGTACAATATAAAACAAAAACAAAAAAGTTTGAAGATTTCATATTATTTTTTCGTGCATGTTCAAAATTGAACAAAAATAAAAACTTTTAAACCAAATTTTTTGAAATTTTGATCATAAAAACCTTCCCTGGGGTCCCGTGAGGTCCCATACAAAATTTGGGCGGGATCGGTTCAGCCGTTTTGACGTTTTTCGGATACAAACATGTCAACAGACACCCAAACAAACAAAGTATATAGATAGATACATGAATATAGCTAAAAGGAACAGATATCAAATTCGTTAAATGTCGCATTTAAAAGATTCTCGACTGATCAATAAATCTACTTTTATGATATGTTATATGTTCATGTCCACAAATTGTCTTTTTCTGTTAATGTTTCAATAAATGACATGTCTATAAAAGAACATATATTAAGGAAATGTACATCCATGAATAAATATTAATCCTTTAAGCAAATCTGTAAAACAATATTTCATGGAAAAGACAATAAAACTCAGAAAAATACCTGCTACCTCACTTTATGTTAGGAATTGCTAATAATATTGAAAATATATATTGATGAAATGTTGATTGACGAAAACATTTCATGTTCTATACATTTTGCATTTTCAATTTTAAATATGCAGGGAGATACATTTCACGTCAAAACAGAGTAAAAGTAAATATACACGATAAATTAAAATCATTTAACTCTCTTCTTGAAAAACTTTTGAGAATTAATTTTTTTTTTTCTCTTGTGCTTAAAATCAACACTCGTACTAGTAATGATGCATATAGTTTTCCTTTCATCAGTCTAATTTACAGTGAATTTGCATTATTGCATTCTAAAATTTAATATTACAGTAAGATACATTTTCCACGTCGGACTTATATATGTATAAAGTTGTAATTTCTGTTTGTCTGTTCGTTTGTTTGATTGTTTGTCCGATCATAACTCATGAACCACTTGACCGATTTGCCTCAAATTTAATTGGTAAACGCGGAAGAACCACTGGAAAATTCTTAGCTAGGTTAAACAATTCTAAGTTGAGTGGGTTGACTTCTAACCACAATGTGTTTAAGTATAAAATATAGAGAAAAGCTGAATTTAAGCTGCATAACCCGATGTGAAAGGTACACCGTACATAGTGCATTACTGTTTGAATAAGAACAACACTTTTAAGGTTTTATTTAAAAGTTTTATCAGTTTTTCTTCCAGGCTATTGGAATTTATTAGGATTAAGTACCTGATGTATAATACTTAAAAATTTCAAGAAACTCGGGTTTCTGTTGGCTATTTTGATAAGAATATCGATCAAGACTTATGTATGCTCCTAATTTGTTTAAAATGGTTGATAATTTATCCTATATAAGCTAGAATTCAGTTAATTCCTGTGGCATTATTTCCATTAAATAATATTTTTTTCAAAATGTGGATTTATGTAGTTAAGAAAGAAAGATTTTTATTTCTTATAGAACTAGATCTTTTTATCTTCAACCCCCCCCCCACCCACCCCCCCAAACATTGATGACGTTGAAAAGTAAGAAGTTTGCATTGTTAGTTGGTCAAGTTCTTTAAAACTTTTACCCTCATTAATCCCTACCACACTGCGTATTTTTCATTAACCATTTATTAAATGAGTTATTAATGCCCCCCCCCCCTCACAGTGGGGTATTTTAGGGGGTCATGGGGTGGGGTGACTGGTTTTTGTCAAAATGCTCCTTGTAATATGCATTTATCTTTTGTTTCATGGTAAGAATGGACAAAATGAATATATTCTTATAACTTTTCATTTACAAACATTGTATGAACTGTAGCTTGCATTAATTTATAAAGATTTCAATTTATAATTACTTTTCCCGTTCATATATCTATCCTTGAATGGATCCTGTAATCCCACAATATATTTAGATGTCGTCCTTGTTACAGCGAGTATTACGGAAGAAAAACATATATTTCATAGCAAAAGCACAAGAGAGCACAGGGGTTTCGGGATAGCCTAAATATATAAATAGATTCTAACAGCTACATAGAAAAGATTTAGGGGCTCCAGCAGCAATCTAAATCCTCGATTTAGTCAGAGTAGTGTGTTGAAAAATCCTATTTTAAGAGTTTTCAATGAAATAGCGGGTTTTTGGTCGAAATTCATAACTTAAACATAACATTTAAGCAACTTGGAGACTTTTCTTAAAAAAAATTCTTTAGCGGCCAAGCTCTATTTGACATAAATAAGCGGTTTATGGAATAAATTTAGTTTGGCTGACCCCCTCCCTAATACCCCACTGTGTCTCCCCCCTCTGGCTCCTTGTAATAGTAAAATATGTATTTCAATGGCATCGCCACTGATGATTTTATCAGATAGTTATGGCTAAGGTGGATAAATTGATGTAACTAGATGGCGCCGAAATTAAAAAAAATTTAGTCTCAACTCAAGTCTCAAGGAGTCAATACCCTAGTCTCAACTCAAGTCTCAATGAGTCNATCTATCTATCTATCTATCTATCTATCTATCTATCTATCTATCTATCTATCTATCTATCTATCTATCTATCTATCTATCTATCTATCTATCTATCTATCTATCTATCTATCTATCTATCTATCTATCTATCTATCTATCTATCTATCTATCTATCTATCTATCTATCTATCTATCTATCTATCTATCTATCTATCTATCTATCTATCTATCTATCTATCTATCTATCTATCTATCTATCTATCTATCTATCTATCTATCTATCTATTCATCTATCTATCTTTATATCTATCTATCTATCTATCTATCTATCTATTATGTTGTCACGCTATCCTGAAAATGGTAAAACAATACCGAGTTTACTTCAGTAGACAATATTGTATATCAAGTGTTACACTATAAACTTAATTATATAACTGTATCTAAATGTCTATATTTAATTATCTATTGCTATACCTGAACCTATTTTTCCTAAATCTACATCTATGATAACATCGATATCTATATTTACATCTTTTTATACTTTTATATATCTTTATCTATATGTATATATTTATATATAAGCAAATTTATATATATGCTGTAAAATGTTCTGTAAATATTCTGTAGAAGAATAAAAGTTCTCTTTATATTTGGTTGTAAAAGCAAAATGTGAAGTTGAAAACAGAAATGTAAATAAAGATGTAAATATATATATATATAGTATTTACAACGGTTCCCTTTAATCCTTCGTGTAAGTAAAATGATTAAGAAAACCTTGTTTTCCTATGTGAAAGTTAATAACACTCTGCTGTGGGTTCTATACCAAAGTGACTTGTGGAATTATGCAGCAGAGGCCAAGATGAAACTTTTACTTATCCTTATTGTTGCTCAGAAAATGTTTAAAGGGAAAGATTGTGAATCGAGCATTCATTTCTTTATTTAGGTGCTCACTTGAAATTACGTCAACTAACTCTTTAAAGAATAAATTTTTTCAAATAAAACACAAATACTAATTTAATAATAATCTGATTTAATGAATTTGAGATAGGTCTAGAGACAGTTCAAAAGTATCTTGAATCAATGATTCAGGGATAGGTAGATTAGCGACCTAGCTGAAATTCATTAAATTAGGTCCCCTGATCTTGAAATCTAGGTCTTTTAGATTTTAACATTTTTTTTCAGAAAAAAGCCCGGAAATGAATGTTAGCATAGAGGAAGAAGATTTTCAGGTTAAATTATGCTTTAACTAGCTTTGGAACACAGGGTAGTCATAGTTAGTTTAGTTTGTCGTTAATTACGATTTTATGATTTTTTCCTATAAAAGTGTACAAAAACACACTCAACTTAGAATCTCCTGCAGATCAGGAAAACAAATAAACAAAAAGCTAGAGATACTCTTAATATATAAAGATATGTAGATATTAACAATATGCATACAGAGGCGTATTTATCCCCCGAAATATTCTTTAAATACTAAAAAGGGTTTTGGTGTTGAATGTTCTTAACTTCTAACAAAATATTCATAATTTCGATATATGCGATATACGAATATTTCGATATATTCGATATACGAATATTTCGATATATTCGATATACGAATATTTCGATATATTCGATAAAATGCCCCCATTTTTTTTTAAATTATCATTTAAAAAATTTTGCCCCCAATTAAACAATTTGCCCCCATTTCTTTCAAATTTCTCAATCCCAAATGGGATTGAAAAAGGAATTATATTGACCCCTGTATATTCGATATACAAATATTTCGATATATTTGATATACTAATATTTCGATATACTCGATATACGAATATTTCGATATATTTGATATACTAATATTTCGATATACTTGATATACGAATATTTCGATATATTCGATATACGAATATTTCGATATATTCGATTTACTAATATTTTGATATATTCAATATTCGAAGAATTGGAAATGTTCGATATACGAATAAAACTTTTCCTTCCAATGGTAATCCAAAGGTTCCATGCTCTAGCGAAAAAACTATGTAAATTTTTCCGTTACTTAATAAATATATTTGAAGTATGCATATCTAGAGCTACAAAAAAGTATAACTGCAAGTTAAAGAGAATAAAGTCGTTGTGACAACTTAAAGTCGACCCAGTCTTGAAACATGATGTTGGATCTTGAAAACCCTGTATATATATAATTATATAAATATATGGATATATATATTGTTTGCAGTCTGAGAAGAGGAAGGAAGAGAAGAGAAGAGAAGGAAGAAGAGTTGTGAGGAAGGTGAAGAGAAGAGTAAAAAAAGAGAAACCAGAAGATAAACTGATAAGAAGGAAAGTATATTTTCTTAAAAATAAGTTAACTTCATTCAAATCCTATGATTTTGACGGATTTGCAGAAATCTAATTTTCTTTTAAATAAATTCAACGATACCATTTTTTATACTTCTGCTGCATGCATTCATTTTTAAGTGTCTGCACCCTACATAAAATAGAATATATGACTAATGTCGTCTTCGCCATATCTACGGTCTGCACCCTAGATAAAATAGAATATATATTAGAGGGGAATTTAGAGAATCTCTCGGTATGAATGTTTTCAGTCCCTTTCAGCCTGAAAGGGAGTTCAAAGTGTACAAATCATGTAAATGTTCACAAATTATTTGCAGTAGAGTACATTAATACAGTATGTTCCCTAGACCATTCATTTCAATTTCGAATTTTTTAAAGCTGTTAAATAAACTTTATAATGAATTAGGTGAATAAATAACATAATTTCATTTATAGTTATAACGGAAAATAATCGTTTGTAAAGTGAAAGGCATAGAGTCTATAAGAAATAATCATTGGTCAATTATGAAACCAGCCTCTTTTTTTAACATTAATTTTAGATTTTCTATAAAATAATATTCCAGGGCCCAAAAGGTTATATAGCATACATATGTAAAGTACACCTGCAGTATGGAAACAGTACAAGAAATGGCCGTTTTACACTTTTTTCTAGTAAATTCCCCTCTGATATATAGTCTATTCTCTTTGACTTTTAGTGTTCCTACTCAGTTGCATTATTTTTGTGTACATTTGTATTTATGGTAAAAACTGAGAAAAAAATTATAGAAAAGGACATATTTTCTTTTTATCCTTCACTAAAAAAAGGTTCAAAACGATATAAAAGAGTGTTCCAATGTTCAACTTTATCTAAAGTATTCTAAAGATTAACGAATTTTTTAATAATGTTTGCAAAGAAACTTCACTAAAGAAACAATTTTATAATAGCATGACACAAAAATCATAAAATAATGATGGCGTCGTTTATTTTTAGTTACTATTACATATAACGAAGCTGACAATTTCTAAATCGACGGAACTAATTTTAAATCGGTTTAAATCAGTTAAACTTGTTTTCATAATCCGTCCATTTAAAAACTCCAGCTCTGAATATATTTTAAAAGTTAAAAATATAAAATGATTTTAAATTCTTTCAAAACAGAAGATTTTCCACAAGTGCAGCATGCTCACGGAGGTAAAAAAATGCATTTTAGATTAAATAACAATAAATAGTTAATTACACAGTATTTATTAAAGGTAATGTTCAGACAACAGACTAGATACTAACACACACAGACTGCTCATAAGCTTTAACGGGATGGACCGGCTAAGCAGGCCTATTGTTGTCCCGGTACGCCATGCTACATTTCCGCGAAAGGGTTAACACTGCCATCTAACGGCCACTTGTTGCATATGCTACACATTAATTTTTATAGAAATACTCCAACGTTTAACATTAAGCATGTAATTTATAAATTTAGTTTTTTTTGGAAGGTTTTGTACTTCGAATCCTTAAATATTCCTGAATACAGATGTCTTTTCATGTTGCCTCATTGGTTGTGTACTCCAGTTGTACACCATGGCCGGACCTGCTGTGGAAAATATCTGTATCTGGTTCAGACGTAATTATAAGTAATCTCAGATTATAGAGTGGATTTTTTTCCGATTCAAGTAACGGTAACCCTTTAAACTCATCGTTAACGAATAAAATATTTTTTTTGCTACAAACTCTGATTTTCTAATCCCTTTATCTTAGCAACCCAAAGTTGTAGATGTAGACCTTAGATATTTCAAACTCTATGAACTATATTAGATCAAATTATCTTAGTTTAACATTTCAATGGTTTACACCATTAGGTTGCAAAGATATATGGATTACGGATTAGAAAATTTGAGTTTGTAGCTACCACTCAATTCCTTTCCACAGCATAATTTCATATTTTGTTCGTAAGATACGTTTAGTTTCTATTGTTTTAGAATAAATTTGCTTCCATCAATAAAGCTTTAATTTTGATTCTTATAAATTTTTCAATGTCTGCCTTCAGTTTGAATTTATAGCAAAATATAATTCCAATTGTTCCTCGGAATTTTTTCTGAAAAAAAACAGGTGAAAACAGTTTCAGATTCTAATTTTAGAAAACACGAAACCATCTTGGAAAATTTCTATTTCTACACAACACAGTTATATAAGAAAAAATATTTGCCTATAAGTGACCTTTTTTACAGGACCATCAATTTCTACTGTAACATATTCGATTCACAACGGTACACTTTCAACCATTATTGTATGATCAATGGTTTTCTAGCTGAAAATTGATTATTCTTTAAGGCGGTTTCCGCATAAAAGAGACTTTGCGGATTTTACTTGATAGGACACGGAATCTTACTGTCAGAATTAGTTACATTTTTAGATAGAGAAGCAACAATGTTCTCTTAATATTCAAATAAAAGATTAAATGGTACCGTTTTAATCGGACACTTAAAATTGTGATTACAGTCCCTTTAATCACATCGTATTATCACAATTTTTGCCGTAGATGAGGGGAACCAAAGTACTAATTCAAGGAAAGTTAATTGTAGTTGTGTATACTCTGCGTACATATTGAAACCAGTTCTCTCTGGGCGAAATTTGTAAACAATAATAGTTGCATCAGTGTTCGTTTAGTATGCGTGGAGGTTTAAAGCATTGAATTTTTCATTGATTTTTTATCTGGTAGATGGATCCCATGTCTTGCTTCGACATCCGTCTTGTGTTTACATTACCGCCCAGATACAGTACACTGCAGTACAAAAGATGCGTACGCCTGTGCAGAACAAACTTTCCTTGCATTATAACCTTGAGGGTATAAGCTATAGACAATTTGGTTTGATTTATTTTTAATATTAAACCTAATGTTTTTAATAGTTTAAGATAATTGACAAACAAACATACTGCCTTTATGAACATTTCAAAAGTAAGGTATCTGCCTCAAACTCAAATTTGATTATCCCTATATATATACAACCTGAAGCAAACTTTTGATATTTCAAACTTAGATTATTTGATTTTACCGAATTTATAGTTTATAATATATAAGGTCTCCTACATTTGGCTGACAAGATAAAGGCATTAGTTTTTGACAAAACTGAATTACAAGATTTAATGGTTTTAACCAGAATTAACTTTCTGTCTGATAAACTTGTTGTTTCACTTTTTATTAATAGCAATTTTCCTTTGTGTGTTACTTTTAAATGTTATTTGCAATGTTTTTATTGCAGTTACATTACATGCGAATTGAATCTTTTTAGATAAAATAGCGCAAGGAAAGCCATTAACACATTTTCAGGTCAATATTGCATTTATTTTATAAAGCTCCGATGGACAGGGTTACACGCAGAGGATGGACAGGATGGACAGGATGGACAGGGTTGACAGGATGGACAGGATTGACAAGATGGACAGGGTTACCCGCAAAGGATGAGACTTTAAAACCTAAACCTCTTTGGATAAACAATATTAAGGTTAAGTTTGGGATTTTATTTAGTATTTTATTTTCATTTTACAGATGTGGCAAAGTAAGAGACAAGTTTACAAGTTCAGGAAACTGTGATCGAATTTCAGAAAGAAAAAGACTGATGGTATTCCATACAGTCGGCACTAAACTACATCATTTGTTGATAACATTGTAAACAAATGGTCCTTGTTTATCACACGTATAAGTGCATACATATGTCTCACTTGTGCGTCCGGGATAAGTGCGTACATTTTTTTACACTTGTGCGTCCGGGATAAGTGCGTCATCTTTTACAAAAGAAAAACAAAAAAATATATATAAAATATATAAAATATAATATAATATAAAATCTGCATTTCTAAATCTAAACACATTCCTAATCAAAAATTTAAATATTTACATTTACGTTTACATAAAGTAAATATTTACGTTTACATTTACAACTTATATTAAGTAAAAATGATACACAGGAACATTTGTATATCCTTTACACAGAAATTTACAATTTACATGTAAATTTACAAATTGTAAAGGTATAAAATACACACAGGTCTCATATCAGTCCTCTAATGTAAAATTATTAACAAAAATTGCCGTGGATAAAAATTTGCATGGGGTGCTTATGCATGGATTTGGAGTTGAGGTTTTCTTGGATAGAATAGGAAAGTTACAATTCAACTCAAAAAATGCTCAAAATACCATGTTAAAAGAGACAATAGAAGAAGAACGAGTAATCACTCATTTAAGGAACAAAAAGAATATTTAAGAACCATTAGTTAAATTATGGATCCTCTAAATGTTATATCTTGAATAGCTTAAATTGTCAAGTTAGCAGGGGAAAACTATATTTTATAACTAAACTAGCTGCTAACTGGATTTGATAATTAAATTGTCAAGTTAGCAGGGGAAAACTATATTTTATAACTAAACTAGCTGCCAACTGGATTTGATAATTAAATTGTCAAGTTAGCAGGGGAAAACTATATTTTAGAACTAAACTAGCTGCTAACTGGATTTGATAATTAAATTGTCAAGTTAGCAGGGGAAAACTATATTTTATAACTGAACTTGCTGCTAACTGGATTTGATAATTAAATTGCTTTGCTGCATTTTATTCATAAATAATTCATTATTTTGCAGATAAAGTTTTTAACAATTCTGCGCAAATTTTCATAAATGATTTGCAAAAGAAAGAAGTCATTCAATCCTGAAATAGTCTGCAATATATTTTAATTGCACTATTATTGTCAATTAAAACTGAATTTTTGATCATTCTTCACTATAATTTCAAGGTTTTTTTGTTTTGATACAAACATATGATAGATTTTATATAAATAAATATTATGTTAAGATCCTAATTTATCGTTCTAATCTTCCAATTCCACAGTATTTCATGTAACACTTTATACTCCCTGCTGGCCACTTCAAAACGTTATACTCCCTGCTGTCCACTTCAAAACTTTATACTCCCTGCTGGCCACTTCAAAACTTTATACTCCCTGCTGGCCACTTCAAACCGTTATACTCCCTGCTGGCCACTTTATAACTCCAGCTGGCTAGAAAGTAATTAAGCAAGGAAATGACTCCAATATAAGTTAACATTTACTTCAGTGACCCTCCATGCAAAGATGACAATTACCGATTCACAAGGGTATCCTTAAAAACTTTCCCTGATCAAGCATGAATTGCATATTTGTGTATATAAATTTGAAATGATCAGATTTAAACATTTTTCAAACTAGAAAAGCGAAAGTTATTTATCAGATAATTGTTTCAAGAGTACCATTGTGAATTGGGCACTGCAGAATGCAACAACTGTTTTAAACACAAAAATTAAGGAAGATCAAACACTAAGCTATCCTGAAAAATTCGAATAGCAATCCTTTCTGTAAAACCCTGTGTCCATTGTTGCATGTTTTATTTAGTCGTTTGAAGGGAAATAATGCTACAAAGTTTAGTAATTTGATATATCTGCTGTCTTGAAATATACAAACAAACGTTATATATATTTGTTGACCTTTAAAAAAGTCAAAAATATTCTAATAAAGAAATCAGAAAAAAAACCAAATATTCTATAACATTTATTTAAGAAAAATAATATTGTTTTGAAATATTTGACCAAGACACAAAGATTGTAAATTGGTTGGTTTAGAAATTAATAAAGGAAAAAGACAGACGTCAGTAGCAACTTCATGTTGGTAATGTATAACTTCATATTGGTGGTGCAGATCAACTAGAACTGGAACAACAGGTTTCTGCTCTCTCCAGGTTCGCTTAGTAAACTCATTAGAGTTGAGATTATCCTCTTGTGGAGGAGAGTTAGAACCCTTGGAACAGGGTGAGTATCCTCTTGTAGAGGAGAGTTAGAACCCTTGGAACAGGGTGAGTATCCTCTTGTAGAGGAGAGTTAGAACCCTTGGAACAGGGTGAGTATCCTCTTGTAGAGGAGAGTTAGAACCCTTGGAACAGGGTGAGTATCCTCTTGTAGAGGAGAAGTAGAACCCTTGGAACAGGGTGAGAGATCGCGGTTTTATCAGTTTCGAATATGAGGGAATGCATCTCAATGTACGCCTGATAATTTTGGAACTCTTGGAACAATGTTGAGCTGGATGTAAGCATCGTCTGTTGGTAGCTATAGGTATCTGCATCATCACTATGAAGGAGCCAGGATTGCTCCCTGAGACGGAGTTGTTATCATCTCCAGTGTTCTTCGCTGACTGCTGGGTGAAGCGGGAGCTAGGGTGAGCGGGGATTTGACATGTGTGGTGTGTTGTATCGCGGAAAAGGATCCTGAGTACACACACATCCAGAGAATTAACATCGGCATTTGAGTCGGTGAAATCATCTTCCTTATATTTCGAATTCATTTTAACAATATTATAGTTATTACACAATAATAGTGATTGCTTAGGACAGAAGAATTTAATTAATATACTATGGAATTATCAAACCATTAATTAAACCTCAACATGACTGACCTACCTCAACATGTTTCACCTACCTCAACATGTTTGACATTCCCTTACATGACTGACCTACCTCAATATGACTGTCCTACCTCAACAAATTTGACGTACCCCAGCATGACTGACCTAACTCCTCATTTTTCACCTACCTCAACATGTTTGACATACCCCAACATGACTGACCTACCTCAATATGACTGTCCTACCTCAACAAGATTGACGTACCCCAGCATGACTGACCTACCTCCTCATGTTTCACCTACCTCAACATGTTTGACATACCCCAACATGACTGACCTACCTCAATATGACTGTCCTACCTCAACAAGTTTGACATACCCCAACATGACTGACCTACCTCAATATGACTGACCTACCTCAACAAGTTTGATGTACCCCTACATGACTGACCTACCTCAATATGACTGACCTACCTCAACATGAATGACCTACCTCAACATGATTGACCTACCTCAACATGATTGACCTACCTCAACATGATTGACCTACCTCAACATGTTGACCTACCTCATCATGTTTCACCTACCTCTTCATAATTGACCTACCTCATTATGACTGACCTACCTCAACAAGACTGACCTACCTCATCATGTTTCACCTACCTCAACATATTTGACTTACCTCAATATTCTTGACCTACCTTAACATGACTGACTTACCTCAATATTCTTGACCTGTATCAACTTGTTGCTTAAACTAAAATTAGCTCTATGTATTTACTAAAATATTAAGGCTATGGGAATGCTGAGAAAAGCTCTTGTATCCTCGTTTATAAGTTCCTCGTCTAATGGAACAGGGGTGGTAATGAAGACTACAGCAAGCAGGTCATTTTCCTTTTTAAAAAAAATGCTTTACACATTCTAAATAGACTAAAAACATTCTGTTATCACGAGAATTTTACTCAATACTTTAATTTTCCTTCTCCGAATCCGATTGGTTAAAGTTTGTAAATAGATCAACATCTTGATATCCAATGTGAAAACTTGATGGACAATTGCTAAATCCCTCAACTTAAGTTTTTAGAATACTGATAATTACTTGTTTCCTTGATTAATAACATTAAAGCTTTGACCTTCGGAATCTTAAAATAAGCCCTGTTTTAATCAATGATAGATAAGATGCGGGATCCCTTGTTACTTCTGATATTTAACCAAATGATTTAAATAAGTTAGTTGCCACCATCCTTACATTAGAAAATGGCCATCTCTGAAGATAAAATTTTCAACTTATTAATCACTATTTCAGGAGATTTAGTGAGATTCGGCCAGAAGATATTCAAGCGGTAATCATCTTTAATGCAAAAATAAAGAATTTGTTCAGTCTTTTTTTATTTTCAATTTGTATGGGGCAGGGCTTTTGGGCTAAATCTGTGTAATCTTTAAATGCTTTTGGTACAGTTTAAATAAAAGAATCTTTATGTGGTTTTGACTTCTGCTTGATATAATTTTTCGTATTAGACCCTAAAATGAACACTAAAAATTAACCAAAGTGAAAGTCGATAATAAAATCTATAACCTATAACCAACATTTATTAAACATTTAATGGAGAGTAACTTGAAATCATTCCAAATGTCCCCGTAATGGAGGGTAACTTGAAATCATGCTTAATGTCCCTTTAATGGAGAGTAACTTGAAATCACGCCTAATGTCCCTTTAATGGAGAGTAACTTGAAAATCACGCCTAATGTCCCTTTAATGGAGAGTAACTTGAAATCACACTTAAAATCCCTTTAATAGAGAGTAACTTGAAACCACGCCTAATGTCCCTTTAATGGAGAGTAACTTGAAATCACGCCTAATGTCCCTTTAATGGAGAGTAACTTGAAATCACGCCTAATGTCCCTTTAATGGAGGGAAACTTGAAATCACGCCTAATGTCCCTTTAATGGAGGGTAACTTGAAATCACGCGTAATGTCCCTGTAATAGAGGGTAACTTGAAATCACGCCTAATGTCCCTTTAATGGAGGGTAACTTGAAATCACGCCTAATGTCCCTTTAATGGAGAGTAACTTGAAATCATTCCAAATGTCCCCGTAATGGAGGGTAACTTGAAATCACGCCTAATGTCCCTTTAATAGAGGGTAACTTGAAATCACGCCTATTGTCCCTTTAATGGAGGGTAACTTGGAATCACGCCTAATGTCCCTTTAATGGAGGGAAACTTGAAATCACGCCTAATGTCCCTTTAATGGAGGGTAACTTGAAATCACGCCTAATGTCCCTTTAATAGATAGTAACTTGAAATCACGCCTAAAATCCCTTTGATAGAGAGTAACTTGAAATCACGCCTAAAATCCTATTAATAGAGAGTAACTTGAAATCACGCCTAATGTCCCTTTAATAGAGAGTAACTTGAAATCACGCCTAAAATCCCTTTAATAGAGAGTAGCTGGAAATCACGTTTAATGTCCCTTTAATGAAGGGTAACTTGAAATCACGCCTAAAATCCCTTTAATAGAGAGTAACTTGAAATCACGCCTAATGTCCCTTTAATAGAGGGTACCTTGAAATCACGCCTAAAATCCCATTAATGGAGGGTAACTTGAAATCACACCTAATGTCCCTTTAATGGAGAGTAACTTGAAATCACGCCTAATGTCCCTTTAATAGAGAGTAACTTGAAATCACGCCTAAAATCCCTTTAATAGAGAGTAACTTGAAATCAAGCCTAAAGTTCCTTTAATAGAGGGTAACTTGAAATCACGCCTAATGTCCCTTTAATGGAGGGTAACTTGAATTCACACCTAAAATCCCTTTAAAGATGAAATATATGTCTTGGTTTAAGGTTGGGGAAAAGGTTCAGTGTATAGTACTCAAAGAAGAAGAAGAAGAAGAAGAAGAAGAACAAGAAGAGAAGGAAGATGAGGAAGAAGAAAATCTGGAAGAACCTAGAAAGTTAAAGGTAAAGTTTTAATACCAGCAAAAATTGCAGAAATCCATTTTTTAAATGTGCGCGCGCGCATGAGACGGGTTAAGGTTAAAGTGAAAAAAATATTCCTTAGATTTTAATACTTTTGAGTTTCCATACCTTTAGATAAAACCCGGACATTTTGCACCGAAAGAATTTCGAAGTTAACTTTGGCTTAATAATTTTGAAGAAAATGTTCATAATGTTGAAATGCTCCTGGAAGAGATATTACGAACTAAATGTGAGGGATCCGAAAACTGTCTAACAGCGCAGTGATCTAAAGGTTGCAAGCTCTCAAAAAAAATAATGAGAGTTTTGTCAACACTTAAGCAAAAAACAAGTACTTTTTAGTTCTATCATTATTATTATTATTATTATTATTATTATTATTATTATTATTATTATTATTATTATTATTATTATTATTATTATTATTATTATTATTATTATTATTATTATTATTATTATTATTATTATTATTATTATTATTATTATTATTATTATTATTATTATTATTATTATTATTATTATTATTATTATTATTATTATTATTATTATTATTATTATTATTATTATTATTATTATTATTATTATTATTATTATTATTATTATTATTATTATTATTATTATTATTATTATTATTATTATTATTATTATTATTATTATTATTATTATTATTATTATTATTATTATTANATTTCTATACGTTGGATTTCTATATGTTGGATTTCTATATGGTTTGACGCAGTCCAAATCTATGTGCGTGTATTATAGGAAGATGAAAAGAGTGTTGTAAGACTGGTAAATAAAGTTGCAGGGAAGAAAAGTAATTGGAAAATTGTAGAAAGACAGTTTGTTCAGGTACAACAGATTAGATCAACATTTTGGAAACTTTAAAGAATTAAAACCAATAAAAAGAGTAATGGTCAATCATGAACTCTGGATCTCGATATCAAATGTGGGCACCTTAAAATTTGAAGATGCATGCTTGAGAGATTCACAAACTAAAAGTTCTGACCTCCATGAAATAATCTGATAAATGTTATTTATCTGTTTAAGGGAAATAATCTGATAAATGTTATCGTTAGATTTATAAGATTTAAATTTAATATTATCTTTCCTTTTCTATAATTTGATTCCAGGGCACAACACTTTTCACAGATCTTGCTGGTGGTGGTAGTACCAGTGATGAGGTATCAACACATTTTTAGGAAATAGTAAACTGCTCAGTTTCCAAACTTGAAATTATTTCTTAAATAAAAAAAATTATTTTGCGAATTTTCTTCAATCTTCATGACCAATTGTATTAAAAATTGTTTTTGCATTTGTCATTTACTGCAACATTTTTCAGTTAAAACATAATTTGCGTTCTTTGAGTAAAATAAAGCTAATCCGATTTTTTTGAGTCCAGACTTTTTTATTGAGGAGGAGGAGGATGAAAATGAGGAGAATAATAACATCGAAACGGATGAAAGTAAAACAGAAGAAGAGGAAGAAGAAGAGGAAAGTGAAGAAAATGGCAAAGATAAGATGTGAAAATAAGACGAGGAGTAAAAATTTGTTGTGTAAATTTCATTCATTATAATAAAATACTTTGAAGACTATTTATCGAAATCAGAATTGATCTTTTTTCTAAAAATGCAATATATTTTTTGGTTTGTTAAATTTCAAATGACCCCAGAAAAGCTTTAAGACTACTGAATGGGCATTGCGTTTAAAGGTCAGTTTTGAGGTCCGTTTTAAGGTCAGTTTTGAGGTCAGTTTTAAGGTCAGTTTTGAGGTCATTTTTGAGGTCAGTTTTGAGGTCAGTTTTTTGGTAAGTTTGAGGCCAGTTTCGAGTTCAGTTTTGAGGTCAGTTTTGAGGTCAGTTTTGAAGTCAGTTTTTAGGTCCGTTTTGAGGTTAGTTTTGAGGTCAGTTTTGAGGACAGTTTTAAGGTCAGCTTTGAGGTTAGTTTTGAGGTCAGTTTTGAGGACAGTTTTAAGGTCAGTTTTGAGGTTAGTTTTGAGGTCAGTTTTGAGGACAGTTTTAAGGTCAGTTTTGAGGTAAGTTTTGAGGTCAGTTTTGAGTTCAGTTTTGAGGTCCGATTTGAGGTAAGTTTTGAGGTAAGGTTTGAGGTCATTTTTTAGGTCGGTTTTGAGTTCAGTTTTGAGGTTAGTTTTGAGGTCAGTTTTGAGGACAGTTTTAAGGTCAGTTTTGAGGTTAGTTTTGAGGTCAGTTTTGAGGATAGTTTTAAGGTCAGTTTTGAGGTTAGTTTTGAGGTCAGTTTTAAGGACAGTTTTAAGGTCAGTTTTGAGGTAAGTTTTGAGGTCAGTTTTGAGTTCAGTTTTGAGGTCCGATTTGAGGTAAGTTTTGAGGTAAGGTTTGTGGTCATTTTTGAGATCGGTTTTGAGTTCAGTTTTGAGGTTAGTTTTGAGGTCAGTTTTGAGGTAAGTTTTTAGGTAAGTTTTGAGGTCAGTTTTGAGTTCAGTTTTGAGGTCAGATTTGAGGTAAGTTCTGAGGTAAGTTTTGAGGTCATTTTTGAAGTCGGTTTTGAGTTCAGTTTTGAGGTCAGTTTTGAGGTCAGTTTTGAGGTAAGTTTTGAGGTCAGTTTTGAGGTCAGTTTTAAAACAGTTATTTAACTTTAATAAGGCTCCTCCATACAGGAATATGCAAGATGTACAAATTACGATGAATTTTTCTAATTTAAAATTCCATGCGTGACAAGTACGATTTTACTACAAAATGTTTACAGATCTTATACAGTGAAACCCTTAATAACGAATACATCGGAAGAATTTATCGAATGTCGTCTTGACAATTTTTCAATGAGTTTTATATACTATATTACGTAAATTTTAGTATTTGCCAAAATAAAAAAATAGCCATGAAATGAATATGCGGGAACAGTTTTAAAGAGTTCCATATAATCATTTAATTAAAAAACTAAATATGTGCAACATTCCATTATCAGAAAGTGAAGTTAATACGACATTTGATGAATTCTTTCGATGTATTCGTTATTAAGGGTTTCACTGTACCAAAGACATTAACCAAAACGGTTATTAGAAAAATTATTAAATGCTTTTTTTAGACACAGATACTTATGACTTATGTATTTTGACAATAAACTTTATCTATCTATCTATCTATCTATCTATCATATCTAAGTCTTTCTGTATAGTCCCTCTGAATTCTGATTTTATCTTGATATTCTTCTATCATGCAATTTAGATTAGGTCGTCGACGTCGGAATTTTCTGTCATTTTTTGTAATGCATTTAAGTAAAATGTTATTTATATATGTTTTTTTTGAGAGAGAGGACGAATAAAGTGTGACTGATTTTCTTCAAATTGCTGGAGAAAATGGTAAGAATTTCTATTATAAATGATACGCGCGAAGCGCTGAAGAATTTTTTCTTTCTTTCACTTAATGTTGATATTTATTCGCTATCTTTTCTTTCCATTCTGCAGGGGGGGGGGGGCTTTTTAGTTGCTAAGGGATCGGGCGGGTAAAAAATTCCTTTTGGAACCATAGTTTTCAATGATTGCAGGGGGCGCGGTGAGCGGGGTTGATCCCAATAGCCCCAAATCCGAAGTTTATTCGCTTTTATACACTGCATCCCCTAGTCTTTAGGGACCAATTTTTCAAGAATTTTAAAATCGAAATTAAATCGAATTTCTTAGTTTTTGCGTAGAGACTATTCTTTGTATTGATGTTTCCAAAAACTGCGTAGAACTCAACTTCGACAAATATTATTTGCCGCGCAGAATTTTAGATCGTGTTTTGATTTTGAAAAATAACAGCTCAAAATTTTAAGTCTGTGCATTAATAATATGTAATATACAGGATGTCCCACATCATATTAGACCGAGAACGGGTCTAAAGGGTGTGTCCTAGTAAACGATTTTTGGACCCCCCCGTGCCCCCCTCCCCCCCCTCCTATCAATTTTTTACATGACCATTTATTTTTCAGCAAATTTATTATTATTTATTTTTTTGTTATTTAAGGTTAGGTTAGGTTAAGATACTTTCTGGGCCGAGCGCTGCGGCTAGGATAGGCTAGTTGGCCGAGCGCTGCGGCCACGGGTTAGGTTAGATAAGACATTTTCTGGGCCGAGCGCTGCGGCTAGGACAGGCTAGGGGGCCGAGCGCTGCGGCAACGGGTTAGGTTAAGTTGAGACACTTCCTGTCAGACCCATGTACAAAATTGATAGGAGGGGGCACGGGGGGGGGGTCCAAAAATCGTTCTCTAGGAATGTACCGGTCTAAATTACGATTTTCGGGACGAATCAGAAAACTTAATTAGAATGAATCATTGAGAAAAATAACATAAGGCTTGTAAAAGAATTTTCTTGCGAAAAATGATAAGTTTTTCGAGTATTAAAGGTTTATTTTGGCGTTAAAGATTGGAGATAATCTAATATGATATAGGACACTCTGTAGCTAGACTTAATTGTCATGCATATTTATGTATGTCTTAGATTGAAAAGAAAGAAATGTTAGTCCTTCGCATATTAGAATCTATGTAAGTTATTTTTTTCTGTAGAAATTGTTTAATCGTAAGATCGGATCATCATCTCGATTTAGGCTTTGCGGAATTTGCGTTAAACTGAAGCTGCATTTTTGCTTAAAGCTACGTCGTAGAATAGATGCCCGTCTGATGGCATAGAGAAACAAATAAACGTAATTATTATTCATCAATGACGTCCCAGCTAAAATTATTATGAATTACGATGTTCTTTATGGAAAATTTATATGACATGACCGAAATATTGAAGCAGTAAAAAGTGGTAATTTTCTATTTTAGGATTTGTGAATCCCCGACCCTCTTCCACCCCCCCCCCCCCCTTCTATCAGTTTTGAACACAGCAGTTTAGGGCTATTTTAAACTATGGTCTGAAAACCCCATGGATACCATAAAATTCGCTGATCTCGGGGGGTCGTGGGGGTGGGCGAGTTGTAATAGCCTCCGCCCCCCTCTTGTATACGCTACTGATTTGAAAATGGTATATTTTAAGCTCTGTTCCGTCACCGTTATTTTACCCGTTTCTATAATGTTTATATTTTCTCGCATGGAAGTTTATTAAAATTTAAAATTTTGTTTCAGATAAACCACTATTGAGTTTATACGGTGAAACATTAACATCTACATGAGGGTAAGCTTTACATTTTTCTCCATTATTAGTGTCATTTTCTTAAGTATTTTACAGAGTGTCTCACGAAACATGACAATTTAGCAAGACAACTTGAAAGTCTTCTTTGCTTTTGAATTTATTTGTAACATTCAGTCGTCAACCTACTTTCTCAGGTATGATTTTTGAAACATTAACCATAACCATTTTTAAAATGCGGTCTGCCTTTTTTGTGCTGTTAATTATTACCGTAATTTTAAGACCTGTAATTATCAATTTTATTTTATTTAGTTTCAAAATTTTGTGAAATAAAACAAAAAATGCCGAAATCTGAAGGAAATTCTTCATATCTCTGTGGTAAAACTGAAAGCACAAAAAAGGCAGACCACAGTTCCAACACGAGGGGTCCGGTACTTTATGCAAATTATTTACTCTAGATTACAAATTTATGCCAAAAATTATTTTATAGATCAATGACGACATTAAATTCGTCTTGCTACTCTCATGTTTCTTGGGACACCCTGTAGTTTCCTTTCACATATTTTCTTTCTTTGAATTTGATAATTTGTTTTTTGATGTATTACAAGCTCGGGAACCCAGCTTTCCGTTTGTAACAAAAGTTAACCAACACAACGTAGAATTTTAAATACAAAGAACAACATTCCCCTGGTTCTACAAAGTTCCCAAATCAAAATTTGAGAAAAATCAATCCGGGGGATGATGAGTTATGATCGGACCTCCCAACCAACAAAAAGAGATTACAGTTTTAACTATTACTAGCTTGGGAACCCAGCACTGCCAAAGTTAATAGACGTTACAGTTACACCTGCCGTTTACCCGCACTTAAACGATTTTACCCACTCAACTTAGAATCTATAAACCAAGCACAGAACATTCCCGTGGTTCTACAAAGTTTTCCATTCAAAATTTGAAAAAAATCAATCCGAAGGTTCATGAGTTATGATCGGACATCCAAACGAACTAACAGATATATATTATACAATTATATATATATGGATGGTATTGATTTGCTCAACAAGTCGTAAGATTTTTTTTACACAGTCATAAACCAGTACAAAGTGTCAAAACCAGTATAAAAAAATGTCAGTTGTCTTTATTTTGTCATATAAAGATGTCGCTAGAGGTTAAGTAACCTAAAGTATAAAGTTGTACCCTCAATATTTCAAAAGGTATGTCAGTTGAGTCAAGTTATGTCCTTTATTAAGTACACAATCCTAGGCACACATTTCAAATTGAATGACAACGTTTATACCCAGTTTAAACTGCATCGATCTTCATTTGTAATCTTAAGATATAAATTGTTTAGGCAAGATTACCCTGCAATGGAGAATAAATGTCGATCCTGTCCTAAATGTAAATCTAAGATTGAGGTGAAAGGGAAAGAAAACTGCACCACCTGTGCAAATCCGCCAGATTCCATGAAGAGCTCTGACAGCAACTATCCAGCTTCATTGGAGGCAGAGTCTTCAGTTCCAGTTTCAACATGCTCGTCAGAAGATTCAGTACTAGTTTATGATCCAGGTCAGAATACAGATCATGGACATGATACAGAACACAGGCATGATCAGGATCATGATACAGATCAAGGACATGATACCGAGCACAGACATGAGCAAGATCATGAACAGGATACAGATCATGGTATAGCTACTGATCCAGGACAAGATATTAGTCCCGATCATGGTCAAGAACGTAAAAATTCCAGTCTGAAAACTGATCAAGGACAAGTTAAGGATTTTGGCAAGGACACTGATTTAGGACAATCAAATGATATGATTCCGGACACAGATTTTGCAAATGAGCTATCTAAATCTGATCAATTAAGAAAAGAAGTTTCAGCAGTTTCAGTCTCAGAGGCTTCTTTGTCAAAAGCAAGCATCTTGCACTCTGTCACAACTACATGTGTGACGTCAGATGATCAAACCTGTGATGATAAAACTTCTGAATCAGTTACACCTTCAGAAGAGCCTTCTTTATCAGAAGTTGTGCCATTAGACTCACAAGAGTCAGGAATAGCAGAACAATTGATGATAGAAGCTCCAATCAGAGGAAACAAATCTTCAGAAACTCCTGAAGAACCTTTAATTTCAGATCCTGTCCCGGAAACTTCAACGTCAGAAACTCCTTTCTTAAAACCTTCACTACAAAGTCCATCATCCACGCAAGCTTTGCATTCTACAGAACCTGAATGTCTTTCAACAGAGGTCCAGCCTTCAGATTCCCATGAACTGAACTTGAAATCAGACTTGACAAATGGGCACCATGAATATGTTGTTCAATTGGCGAATGTTTCTTCAGTACCTGATATTAACAGTAGTTTTGCTACCTCAGGGAAAGATGTTCTGGAAATTGATAGTTCTGCAGATAAAGACAAAGTACCTGAGTCTATTTCTTCTGATAGCAATGCTACTTTAAATGGTATAGAACCGGCGTTGACATCTACTTTATCTAAAGTAGCATCAATTCCTATCTCACATAAAACTGAGGTTGCTTCAACAGAACCTAATCCTTCTTCTGTAGAGTCTTGTGTTGTATCTTCTTCTAATTCTTCTGCTCTAGAAGAACCTGTAGTTTCCTCTTTACAATCTACCCCAACTCTATCAGGTATTTAATGTTAACAGAGTTTATTTTTCCAGAGATTACTATTTTCAAGAATCCCCCCCCACGGGGGATATCGATTCTATGAGTGAAAAAAATGTTGACATCAAAAAGCTATTTTTTTCACTCGATTGCAACTTCTTACTCAAAAATTCATTTATTTTCCGCAATGCGTCAAATGTAACATTTTACAAAAATAATTTCTTCTCCACGCAAACTACCTAACATCTAAATAAAAAATTATTTTTAAAAGAAGGTGAGGGGAAAAAAAGATTTTTCAAGAAAGTATGCACCCCTGCACTTAAATCTTTTTGAGTATTTATTTTTTCAGCTANTTTGTTTACTTCAAATCAATTCTCAATTACCTTCAATTACCTCTTGAGAGGGTTTCGTAATCATCGCTGGATTTGTACTAGATACTGTTATCCTTGAATTTATATTTTTCGATTCATTATGATTTTTTTGGAAATGTAACAAAGTGAAGACTTATATATTCGAAACCTTTTAAAATCCGCGAAAATTTAATCTGTACATTATAAGATGGGGACATTTTGATATCCATAAAAAATTTTGACACTGTATTTAAAAAAGTCCCTGGTGAAAGGTCTAATCAAAACCCTAGCCTTAATATTTATATAGTTGTATACAAGGTGTTCCATGAAACATGACAGTAACAAGACGACTTAATAGTTGTCTTTGATCTTGAAAATGATTTGCGGCAATTTATTCGTAAACCTTATTTTTTATTAGTATTATTCTTGAGTTAATGATCACAAAATAACCCTAGTCCTGGCATTTTCATAAGGTTGTCTGCCTTTTTGGTGCTTTCATGTCATTTGTCCTACAATCATTTGTCCTACAGTCATTTGTCCCACAATCATTTGTCCTACAAAGAGGAGATACCATCATTTGTCCTACACTTCGGTTGTACTCTACACATCAATTGTCCTACAGAGATAGAGAAACGCTATTTTTCCTACAGTTAAGATGCACGTATTTACCTTAATCAACTTATTTTGGGTTAGGGCTAAGACGATTTCGTGGCCGAGCGCTGTGGCTAGGATAGGCTTGGGGGCCGAGCAATAGAATGTATCATATGTATATATTTCTTGATGTGTAGGACAAATTAGTTTTTTCCGCTCTGTAGGACAAATAATGTTTCTCCCGCTCTGTAGGACAAATGATCTGTATGACAAATGATTGTAGGACAAATGACATTTCTAATTATATTAAAGGTTGCGAAAGTCCACTGAGAAAGCGAGGAAGACCAGTGATATACACAGAAGATGATTCCCCGCCATCTTCGCCAAGTAAGAGGAGGGGTAGGCCGAGGAAGAAACAGAAGAAAGAAATCAAGGAAGAATGTCAATCCATCAATGGTGAAGAAGATAAAAAATACACAAGATCTCCTTCGAATGGAAATCTACAAATTAAAATTGATGAATCCCTGAAGAAGAAAGAAAATAAAACTGTGATGAATAACACTGAGTTACCTTTAGCCCCTGCAACCTCTTCTACAGGTACACAGAGACAGGGACGGTTTACAATATTTTCAATGGGAAATACCAGATCTACACTCGTACCCTTGACACCTTAATACCAGATCTACACTCGTACCCTTGACACCTTAATACCAGATCTACACTCGTACCCTTGACACCTTAATCTGATAAAAGATACGAAACAACGTCGTTTTTATAACTCAAATAGGTTTTCATTCTGATAATCTTATAATTCTTACAAGAAAAAGTGCGAAAGTCACTTACGCAGAGAAACCACAAATACAAATATTTAAACTTAATCGGACAAAGGTTTTTAAGGTTCCGTTGTAAATCGAACATTGCCATCTTTTCATGGAGGGTCACTTGAAATTACGCTTACAGTCTCTTTAAATGAATATTGAACAGATTTTTTGCTTTTAAAATAAGAAATTTTTGCATTAAAAATATGTTTAAAAATTAAATGGATTTTTTGTAGCAGAATAGAAGGTTAACAAACTAAACTTAAATCTTAAATCTACGCGGCAATTTAAAAAAGTAAACTTTTAAAAAATGTCACATTAAGATTAAAAATTTAAATATTTAAAAACTAGACTTTTAATGCGAGGCGCGCATCCTTTCCTGCAAATTTTTTTAGCTTTTAACCGTTGCTCTGAAATTCGGCCATTTAAAAATCATTTGCAAATTTTAGCGGATTTTTTCTTTTCGAATTGGCGCATTTTCTAAAAAATTCCAACTATTTTCGGTGAATTATTCCATTTTCAATGTTCCATAAACTTTCCCTGGGGTCATGTGAGGTCCCACGCAAAATTTGGCCAGATCTCTTCTGCCGTTTGACGTTTATTGGATACAAACGAACAGACAAACAAACAAACACAAAATATATGTATATAGATATAATTTTTATTGAACCTGTTCAGGTTCTGAAACATCGCTTAGGAAACGTGGGAGACCTATTCGATATATAGAAGAGGACTCCCCTCCTGTATCCCCGGGTAGGGGAAGTACCTCAAAGCCAGGAGGAACTCCTTGGAGTACCGCACAGCCAGGAGGAACTTCTAAGAGTTCCACACAATCAGGAGAAGCGAGCCCGAAGAGAAAGAGAGGAAGACCGAAGAAAAATAAGAATGAGGGAAATGAAGAAAAGGGTTTAAAAGAAAATAATGACATGAAGGATATAAAGATGGAAGATCTAGGAACAAATAAACCTAAGGATGGCGTCTCTGTACCCAGCAATACTAATGAGGATGCTAGTACAGTCTTAAATTCAGAAGTTAGAACGGATAAACCTGAAAACTGTCCAGTAGATCAAATTCTCGATTCAAATTCAATGAATAAAACAGGTACTTAGTACTTACTTCTCCCCCGTAACTTGATCTTTAATATATTTTTTATATTATTAAAAGGTAAAATATATTGAAAAAGGTGCAATAAAATGTCAACGGAAACTTTATTTCTGATGATTTAAATATTTATTACAGTGCGGTACGTTTTTACAATTAAATATATAATTTTGAAGGTAATATTTCGAAAAGATATAATTTTTCGTTTAGTACATTTACAACAGTGCAACAGAATACAGTAAAATAAAATTTTTAAACAAACTGCCACATTTTTAATAATGGTAAAGAAGAAGAAAAGAGTTTCATTTCTGAGCAGAACATAGTTTTTATATCAAGCTTGATCTAAATTTCAAAATGAAAATTTCAGAATAAATTTTGAATTATTTCCAGTAAATGAAAGCTTGGTGAGGAAACGAGGACGACCAGCACGATTAAATCAACAAGATTCACCGTTAGAATTAAAACCCAGGTAGGACCAGGGATATTTATTGTATACATGTGAACATTTTTTAAGGTTTTATTCACTGAAATGGGGAAAATTATTAAAAAAAAGTATCGTAAAAGTATCAAAAAAGAATAAATGAAAAAAAAAAAATTGAAAAAAAAAATTTTCCTTACAAATCATCAAAAATCGGAAAAATACACAACGCTGATGTCAGTGTTTTCGCATAAAAATTATAATAAGGGGGAAAATAGGCTTTGTTTTCAATATCTGACCTGGGCATGGATTTCTCGGGGTTGTTTCCTTTCCAAAAGCAGTTAAATCAGTATCTGTATTTTTTAGGATATCTCGAAAGGTCAATTAGAGATCACGAAAACTAGTTAGTTGATTTTTACGGATTAAACACTTAATCGCTTCATATGTTGTATATTAGCGTCATATTAAAAGGCGTTTCGTTCCTAANGTATTTTTCAAGAAATATAAAGATTATAAAAATTTAATTATCCGTAATTTAAGTAAGCATTTTAAATTCTGCGGTAAACAGAATAAATCAGATCATTCTGGTTTTTATTGTTATTGTAAATTAAATGTATTTTTTGTCAAATTGTATATTTCAGGTCTCCCGTGCCTGAGAATAAAGTTAAAAGGAAGCAAGGACGCCCAGTCAACAAGAAGGAAGAAGGGAAAGGAAAAAAGGAGGAGGAGGTTCAAAAATCAAGTCCTAGTAACGGTGCAACAAAGAAAACTGGAAAATCCGTGAAAAAAGAGGTCAAAGAATCCTTGGAAAAAGATTTGACTGACGACGAGGAGATTGTTGTGAATAAAGATGAACGGTTGGCCCTCAAACAGATTGCAGAGTTTCTTCAGAAAGCAAAACTTCCTCTTTCACCCTTCCCGGTTACGAAAGGTAAGATCAGAGGTGTATATTTTCTCTAAGATTTTCTGAAAAAGAATTATGTGTGAAGAATTCTGGGAAGAAAATCGATCATTTAAAGGCAAGTCTTCTACAGGCTTTATAGTCAATGTCGATATTTATTTGGACTTAATCTTTATTTCAGGAGACGGAAATATTTGGTACAGGGCTTTACCAGACATGGATTCGATGCTTGGAATCCAAATGGCTGTTTAAGTTCTGGAGACGGAAACTGTTGGTAAAGGGCAATGTCAAACCCGGTTTCGATGCTTGGAATCCCGAATAGCTGTATATATTTAGGAGACTGAAACTGTTGGTACAGAGAAATGTCAGACCAGGTTTCGATGCTTGGAATCCATTCTATCTGTTTATTTATTCAGGAGCCGGAAACTGTTGGTACAAAGCTATGTCAGACCAGGTTTCGATGCTTGGAATCCATTCTATCTGTTTATTTATTCAGGAGCCGGAAACTGTTGGTACAAAGCTATGTCAGACCAGGTTTCGATGCTTGGAATCCATTCTATCTGTTTATTTATTCAGGAGACGGAAACTGTTGGTACAGAGCTATGTCAGACCAGGTTTCGATGCTTTGAATCCATTCTATCTGTTTATTTATTCAGGAGACGGAAACTGTTGGTACAGAGCAATGTCAGATCGGGTTTCAATGCTTTGAATCCATTCTATCTCTTTATTTATTCAGGAGACGGAAACTGTTGGTACAGAGCAATGTCAGACCAGGTTTCGATGCTTGGAATCCCTAATAAACCAACGAAACATTGGGATTTGCGGAAACAAGTGGCAGACTCTTTAAAGGTTATTAAAAACTATTTGTTTCAGTTCTTAGGATTAGGATTTGGATTCATTTGCAACATTTTAGCCTTTTAAATCCAAAAATGTAGATCCATTAATCCATTTATTCGGATTCAGAACTGCAAATAAACAAACATAATACGTTTAAAATGCCTAACATTTTTGTTTAAAGGGGTAGTTTTTAAAAAGAAAATATACATCCCTGCATGCTGAACTACAGATTTTAAAAAATATTCGTGAGCTGGATCCGGATCCATTTTTTATAAATGAATCCAAGATCCGGATCCACTTAAAATGGAATGGATCATACGCACCGAATTCTGTTCTTATTCTTGTAAATATATTCTCATTTAAACATTTTCTAAAAATTATTTAGAATTTACCATCTGATGTGAAAAAGAATACGATTGACATTGTTTTTCTCGGGAAACCTCGGGGACTCTCAGACCTAGCACATCGTCAGAGAAAGGTTTGTATTAAACAAAGAAAATTCATTTTTTGACCCCCGCCTCCTAATATGTATAGGTTTACATATTTGGACCCCCGCCTCCTAATATGTATAGGTATACATTTTTTAACTTAATTTTGTTCGAATAATAAATGGCTTTGAATCGAAAGTAAATCAAAAAATAAAGTTAATTCCTTAACTTTTCAGATAAAAGCCGTCCCAACGTAATCCAATGAATTTGAAATAAATCATCTTTTTAAAAACTTTGTAACATAGTGTAAAAAAAATTTTTTTTTTATTAATGGGTTATGTTTTTCTGGGAACATTTCCCAATTTATAAATTTTCTTTTCTTTCATTCAATTTGAAAAAAAATGATTTTTATGACATTTTAATTTTATTCACGAATAGATGATACATAGACCGATTAGATACAGAACATGTTGTGTCATGAACATGTTTTTTCACGTATCATCAAAAATGATGGAGTTATCCCTGTTTTGCAATCTCGAAACTGATCATTTTTAATTTTGGTTCTCTGTGAAAGTGATTTTCGGAAGGGAAACTGAAAGAAATATAAAGAAAAACGGCAATTTCTTCCTTTAATACCGATGAATGGCTAAAGAGTACTGTTTAAATCTAAAATGTAATGGGCCAAAGTGACAAAAAGTGACAGTTTTTTTTTGTAGAATGGGTCTTAAATACCTTTATATTAATTTTGATTCAATCCTAGGAGGGTCAATGGGTTGATGATCGTGGAGTCATGGTGCTCGCCACCGCTTTATTCCTCCAACGAAATATTAACATCTATTCCTGTCCGGCCGACGATTCCAGGTAAAAATACTGCATAGGATAAATTGATTGATTTCTCGAAATATGGAGTTAAAAAGAAATGAATGGAATGGTCTAAAAGGTTAAAATTAAAAAGATTGATTTTTTATATTAAAAACATGTAGATTTGAACATTAATGGGTGAATACGGCGGCAATAATTGATTTTTTAATGATAATCTTTTAAAATATGTTTTTTTTAGCTTGGATTCTCTGATTCGGGATAAATTTGTTTGATCTAGTGATTGATTATTTGATGGATGGATTGATAGATTAGGATTTAAATGTTTATGGATTTTTAAATTTAATGTTTGCTTGTTTCATTTGTTGATTGATTGATTTGTATTATTTGTTGTATTTGTGTTATTTATAAATTTAATTTAGATTTTTTTCGGTATTAGTTGATTGATAAGTTGTGTTATTTATAGATTTAATTTAGATTTTTTTCCGGTAATAGTTGATTTATTGAGTGATTTATTGATTGATTGATTGAATAATTGATTGATTGATTGATTGATATAGGGAATACAGTGTAACCAAGATAGAAGGTGGGGAAGGAGCTGATGAGTTTCCTCCCTTGAACGTGTTCTACGATAACAATCATTATCAGAGCCTGAAACTTAGCAAGGAGTAAACAAAACAAGATGGGAGTAAGACTAAGGAATAATACAAGGGTGTATACTTTCTTGAACATTTGTTTTTCCTATAAGTGAAGTATGTTTGCACGGAAATGAAAAATCAAATTTTGTTTGATTTTCGCTGAATTGGGGAAATTAGTTAATTTTTCGGTAAAAAGTATCAAAGTTTTTAAAAAACTTGGATTTGATTTTTAATTAATTCTTTTTCCCAGATCTTAAAAAATATACACCCATAAAATTATATAAAATGATATCAACCACAATAAGCAACAGCTCAAATATTATCTTAATTATTGACCCTAAATGAATTATTGCTTAGCAAACGTTTTCAAACGCATGTTTTTTTGTTTTACTGACACCAATGAATTACAGTTAGTTTGAAATATTTTTTTTATAAATGAGTAAATTATGTATGATATAACAAAATCGAAAACAAATTGTGAAGGTATCAGTAATAAGAATAAAGTTTTAAACTGTATCTTTCTTCTCTAGACTCTTACTACATAGATACAAGCTATTGGTTATATAATATCCAAGCAACATGCCAAACATAATTCATAACTTTTGCCAAATGTTCTCAAGAAAAGGATTTAGATTAAAAACAGCAATATGTGCTTTATTAAAGAGAAGGTGTTAAAGTAAGACGACTACAAGAAACCGAAAGAAGTTGCGATCTTCCTGAGGATGGTGTATTTTTGGACCTACGCCCATCCACTCTACTGCCCATCCGACCTACGAGCACGTGGTTTTACAGCTGTGGTAGGTCCGATGCACTGTAGATCGGATGGGCACATTAAAAACAGCATATTGGTGCATCCTACCTACTTTAAGCTTTCGCTTGGACACGTTAGTAGGTCTGATGGGCATTTTTCGTAGGTCGGATGGGCACTTTTCGTAGGTCGGATGGGCATTTTTTGTAGGTCGGATGGGCACTTTTCGTAGGTCGGATGGGCATTTTTCGTAGGTCGGATGGGCACTTTTTGTAGGTCGGATGGGCATTTTTCGTAGGTCGGATGGGCATTTTTCGTAGGTCGGATGGGCATTTTTCGTAGGTCGGATGGGCATTTTTCGTAGGTCGGATGGGCATTTTTCGTAGGTCGGATGGGCATTTTTCGTAGGTCAGCCCAGACATGTGGCCGCAGCGCTCGGCCCCCTAGCCTGTCCTAGCCGCAGCGCTCGGCCCAGAAATGAGCTTAACCTAACCTAACCCTAAATATACACTAACTTTCTTAAAAATTGTTGAATAAAAGGTCTTTCATGGCCGCAGCGCTCGGCCCCCTAGCCCGTCCTAGCCGCAGGGCTCGGCCCAGAAATGAGCTTAACCTAACCTAACCTTAAATATACACGAATTTTATTAAAAATTGTTAAAATTAAAGGTCTTATATGGCCGTGCAGCGCTCGGCCCCCCTACAAAAATTGCCCATCCGACATACGAAATATGCCCATCCAACCTACAAAATTGAGTGGCCGTCTGACAGCTACAATTATTTATTTCTACCCTACTGCGCTATATGCATGACAAAAGCTGCTGAATAGGTCGGATGTCTACCCTACTGCGCTATATGCATGACAAAAGCTGCTGAATAGGTCGGATGGGCAAGAAGATATGCCCATCCGACCTACAGCTGTCGTAGGTCAGATGTTGCAGTAGGTCGGATGGGCAGTATAGCGGATGGGCAATAGGACGGAGGGGCAGTAGAGCGGATCAACATTACCGTTTTATATATTTTACGTAAATCTCAGTATTTGCGAAAATAAATTAATAGCCATGAATATGCGGGAACAGTTTTAAAGAGCTCCATATAATCATTTAATTATAGTATTATTAAAACTAAATATCTGCACATTCCCAGGGGCGTACGAGGGAGGGGCGGCCACCCCCCTACGACGCGTGCCCTCCCTGAGCTGGACACCCCTCAGGAGGAGGAGGGCACCCATATAAAAAATACCTTAAAATATCACTTCTGCCGTTAACTAAAAAAGTTTCATGAAAAAAAGCTTTAATTATTACTGCCTTAAGTTTAAATATATCTTTGATATTATTTTTATAATTTTATAATTATACAATATGTATTGTTTCTAAGAAAATATCGATATTTTTTAAGAAACGTTTTGAAGCTTATACGCAGTATTAAGAGAAAGTGTCTGATGATGAGTCCACTAAAGAAAATTACATTAATAATTTATTAACACTTCACAATTGTTATATGGAAGTGTGTATATTATCGAATAGTTTACATAGTTAAAAAAAGTATCAATATTTTTTCAAAAACGGGGTTTTTAATGTTGCCAAGGGGGGGAACAAAAAGGTGCCCTCCCGTCCCACTACACAAATGCTCTCGTACGCCCCTGTCCGTAGCTTGGTTTTAATGCTCTTAATTGAGTGGGTTGTCTTTACAGGAAAATCTTAAAGTCCTAAAGTCTGCAGGCATGAAGCTGGGTTCCAAAACTAGTATTGTATAAAGAACAATCACATAGTGTGTGCTAGTTTGTTTGTTTTAGATTAAAAGTAAAAAAAAGGTGAAGAAAGAATCTGACTTTTGCCAGGATTCTAATTTTTCAATCCCTATATCTTTGGAACGTGATGGTGTAAAATTTTGACATGTCAAACTTAGATTATTTGACAGCATTTTTTAAAACTTTTAATTTTTGCTTGGTCAATAATGATTGAAATATTCTTATTTTCAAGCTAAAAAGTAATTAATTTTAATTGTGTGATTTCTCTCACGGATTTTTACTACGTTTTTTAGAATTTATCACTTTTTAAGATATCTTNCCTGTTTACGGGCCTGCTTTGAAGGAGTGCATTTTCATGGAAGCGAATTTCCGTAAAATATTCCAATCAGACAAAAGAATATTTATTATTAGGTCTATTTAATGGAAAACTAGTGGTACAACTTTGTGGTATGGTAGCTCACATTTCTTTGCATGCTATTACACCCAGTTAAAATTTATTTAGATGCATTTTATAGATTTAAAATATTTACATCTTTTCAAAAAGAGAAGCGATTTAATGTTTTAATCTGACATCAAAAGAATTGAGTCTTTACCACAAACTTAAATTTTCTAATCCCTATATCTTTGCAGCCTAATAATGTACTTTGATTTTTTAAACAATTCGATTACTTTATCTTTTAGAATTCATTGTTTGAAATATCTAAGGTCTACGACATTGGGTTGCAAAGATAAAAGGATAAGAAATGTGGCGCAAAGATTAAAAATTCCTATTTTATAATTTGACATAATTTTACTGCAATTGGTTTTTATGCGTGTCCTGCGTGAATATGTATAATGCGTGCAACACATACCCCGTCCCACGAAATATGACAGTGGGTGAAAAGTTTAAATGTCTTCTTCCATAATTTGTTAAGCTGTTAGATACCAAAGAGATTAATAAGGTAGTAATATTGTATTAAAATTGATTTCAAAGTAAACTATATTTGAGTAAAAAAAATTTACAAGAAATAAACTGCAAAATGACTGTAATGTCTTATACACTTTATGAAAGAAAACAATCAAAACTATACACCAACTGGCATGTTTCTTTCGTGGGACACCCTGTATGTGTGATTGCTCATGCTTAGTGCAGACAACATACACAGGGTGACCATGTGCTATTTCGTTGACAATATCAAAAGCAGAAATTAAAAATATGTAGACTTATAGTTTAGGACTTGAAAAAATATCAAATGACTGAAAACTTTTAAAATGACAGATATCATGTTAGAATATTTTTTAATGTTTTTATAGAATTTGATTTTATGATTTTAATAATCTAAAAATAATGTAATCAATAATAATAATTATAATATAATAAACTGGAAAATCTATGAAATTAAAAAAATACAATTTTCCAGAAAATACATTGCTTTGCCTTATATAAAGTTCAGTTTCTCGAGAAATTAATAATTTGACAGCCCTGAACTGACGGTGAATTTCCGTTTGTTCAGAAGCTAACAGCTGAGAAAAATCGTACTTTTTACACGTCAATCATCTGCAGTATACTCTATACGATAATACAGTTAACTATACCAAAGGCATTTTATACAAGACCTTAAAACAGTGGAATTTGGAAGATGAATTCGATGCTGTTATTATGAAAATAGTTTTACTACAGTGAAAACCAGAAAACAATGGAATAGAAAGACGACATTATAGCAATGATGTTGTTACTAAGCAGATATTTTAACTAGTAACATAGGAAAGCACAATTTAAGTGAAAAGGGTCTATTTACACTGTACAATTGCTATGTCTAATGTTCATTGAACTAGTTTAAGTCCTAACTTGAGTTTAGAAGTCGTCTTCCTATTTCACAGTTGTCCGGATCTTGCTGCATTAAGCAACATAAATGAATTAACAACTTTAATACATTAATTTATCTATGTTTTATTAAATAATATTTTCAATATTTTCCTTTATTAAGGACAAATTTTCTCTGGCAATAAAATATTTTGCCTATGAAATTTCCTATTCATGAAATGTCATGGCTATGAAATGTCTTATCTATGCAATGTCCTGTCTATGAAATTTCCTATCTATGTTATGTCCTATCTGTGGAATGTCCTGGCTATGAAATGTCCTGGCTATGAAATGTCCTGGCTATGAAATGTCCTGGCTATGAAATGTCCTGGCTATGAAATGTCCTGTCTATGAAATGTCCTGGCCATAAAATGACCTGGCTATGATATTTCCTGGCTATGAATGTCCTGTCTATGCAATGTTCTATCTATGCGATGTCATATCTATGCAATGTCCTGTCTATGCAATGCCCTATTTATGCAATGTCCCATCTATGAAATGTCCTATTTATGAAATGTCCTGGCTGTGAAATGTCCTAACTGTGAAATGTCCCAACTATTAAATTTCATATCTTTGAAATATCTTTCCTATGAAAAGTCCTGTCCATGAACGGTTCTGTTTATGAAATGTCCTATTTGTGAAATATTCTATCTAAATATCCTGCCTATGAAATGTCCTGTCTATAAAACATCATCAAAATGTAACTTTTTTATCTTTACAGACTTATTTGGTCCATTTAGGGCTTCCAGCGAAAATTTCTGATTTTTCGAAAAAATTTCACATTTTTCTAATTTCGTTTGTTCAAAAAAAATGCGAACATTTTTCACTTTTTTTTGCAAAATTTTGCTTTGATCAGATAGGCGAAAATACAAAATTTTCGCGGAAAAAGAAATGCGAAAATTTCGGAGAGAATAAATGCAAACATTTTGCGAAAAAAAATACGGAATAGAAATTATTAATTACTCCCGCCGCACATGATCGATTTAACTGGGAAACTATTTTTTCCATTTTTTAAGTCGACCCTTTTAGAATCTTAAGACCAAGCCAAGAACATTCCCGTAGGTCTCCCGAGTTCCCAAATCAAAATATGAAGAAAATCATTTCATGAATTATGAACGTACGAAAAAAAACAGATATAAGAAAACTTCTTATGCTTCACATTTGTTCGACGAAAATTTCCCATTTTTTCGTATTTCGTTAGGTAAAAAAAATTGCGAAAAAAAAACTTTATATATATATATATAAGTGATATTAATTTTACATTTTTTTTGCTAAGTAAATTGTTGCAGCTACAACGCTCTCATGGAAAGATTTTAACAAAAAATGTGAAATTTTGCAACATTTTTCGCCTATTTCCGTTTTTTCTTGAAAGTTTATGTTCGCCGGACTCCCAAGTCCTATAGCAGTTGTCAGCAGTAGAGCAAAAAATTGAGTAGAAGAGGGAGAGCCTTAATTTAGCCTCATCAGCAGCTGTTTTAGGAGTTATGTTAAAAAAAATTGAATATTTTGAAGTTTTTGAGATAGAAAAATGAGCAGCCAGCAAAGAGAAAAAGCCAGGTTATTAAATAAATCACATAACTAATTTTTTATTCTAAACTTTAAGATAATGTTCACCTATTTAAAACATGCAACTAATTACCCAAACTTGTTGGTTAATATAGGAAAACATATCTAAGTCTATTTTACCACTGAAATATGCTTTCGAATAAAGCATTTTTAATTTTTGTATAAAGGGAGTGACCGGCAATGTATGGTAGTTGAACCCTGCAGAGAATGTAGTATTTGGGGAGAATTTTTTTAGGAATCATTTGAGACCTATGAGACTTTTTTACGGTCCATATTTGTTCAGCAAGAGCGCTAATTCAATCTTCAAGATCCTCATAGATTGTTCATTTTTGAGGGATGATTTTGAGAATCGGTTCTAAAAAAATTATTTAATAACGACAACGAAAAATGTGGTAAGAATTCTACAGTAAATTAATTAGTTGTTTAGGAACAGGTTGAGAAATTAAAAATTATCTATTATTATAGAAAATAAGTAATTTTATTCAGTTATTGGTTTCTGAAATGTCTCATTGTTCAAAAGCTTTTCTGTAGCAAATTCCTGGAATTTTTTTTGAAAAGACAACATTAAAATTAAAAAATGATAAGAAATTCAATATAATGCTGAAAAAAAATAATTCATTTTAACATTGATTTATTGAGAACATTTTCATTAAGAAATATGTTCCAAAACATTGAATTATTTTACTGTAAAATTTGTTTACTGTAAAATTGTTTTGTCGTCGTTATTTAATATTTTAAAAAAATCGATTTTCAAAACGTAAGCACCCAAATGGATAATTTTGAAGCTCAGAAATTATGCATCATTAAAACGTTTTATATGTCTCAAATGAATCTCAAACAAATTCTCCACAATAATACCTCCTCAGTTCAACTACCATACATTGCCAGTCAATCCCTTTAAATTTAATTTTTGTGTCCAGGAAGCTTCGAGCAGAAGCTGATTGTAAAAGGAGTCATGCTGCTGACCTTCAAAAGTAAATATATTTGTTTAATCAGAAGACAATACTATTCTATATTTCTGTCCAGCCCCTACCCCAACTCTATCATGATATCATAATTATGGATTATGGATGTTGTAATTCATGATTTATGGCGCGTCATGCATAATTTCTCTTATTTGTTAAACAACTATAGGTTTACAAACTCCATTTCTCATACTCTCAATCTGTAAACTCCAGTTCTCACAACTTCTACATGTAAACCATTGTTCTCCAACTTTCTATCTGTAAACTTCAGTTCTCCTACTTTTAATCTGTAAACTCCAGTTCACCTACTTTCTATCTGTAAACTCTAGTTCTCCTACTTTCTATTTGTAAACCCCAGTTCTCCTACTTTCTATCTGTAAACTGTAGTTCTCCTACTTTCTATCTGTAAACTCCAGTTCTCCTACTTAATATCTGTAAACTCCAGTTTTAACGGATATTTCAGGTGGGTTTTTCAATACTAACTAGCTATCTATCTATCTATTCTGCAGTGATCAGGAGAGAATGAGTGCTCAAGCTAATTATTTGGACAGTCAGTTACGTGATATAGAACGGTAAGAACCTTTAATATTTTAGAAATTATTCTACATATATGTCCATTTATTTTATTTGACAAAATTAGATGATTATAATTTGATATTTGGTTACGCAGAAAAATTAGGATTTCTGGATCAAAAACACATTTATTTTTTACAATTTTGAGCAAGTTTTCTAAATTTTGCATATTTGCGTTTAAGTAAGTGTGGTGCAAACCAATGCAAATTGGAGAAACATATTTGTGTGCATCAACTTTTTCAGCAAATATTGCATGCAAAATCCAAATAAAATTCTAAACTTTTTTTTCTAAAATATAATTTGTAGTGTTTATTCGAATTGAAGGTAAATATCTTATCCAAGTTAATTAATTAATATTTTCACAAATAAATTAATTTTGATCTGTAATTATAGATTAGAAGCTTGGGATACTAGGAGAGAAAATCAACTGATAGACTTTATACCCGGTAAAATATTATTGCTTTTTCAACAAAAATAAATCTTGTAAAATAATAAATTTTTAAATTTAGAGCTCACCCGTACAGAGGAAAAAATCAAAAAAAATAGGTAACCATAGTACTTTATATCACTTCATTTTCACTTTTACTCACTTTATCTCACTTTACTTTCACTTTTACTAACTTTATCTCACTTCATTTTCACTTTTACTCACTTTATCTCACTTTATCTAACTTTATCTCACTTTATCTCACTTTATCTCACTTTAATTTCACTTTTACTCACTTTATCTCACTTTATCTCAATTCATCTCACTTTATCTTACTTTATCTCACTTTATCTAACTATATCTCACTTTATCTCACTTTACTTTCACTTTTACTCACTTTATCTCACTTTATCTCACTTTATCTCAATTTATCTCACTTTATCTCACTTTATCTCACTTTATCTCTCTTTCTTTTAACTTTCACTTACTTTATCTCATTTAATTTTAACTTTTACTTACTTTATCTCACTTTATTTTAACTTTTACTCACTTTATCTCTCTTTAACTTACCAATCTCACCTTATCTCACTTTATATCACTAGCTTTATTTTCATTTTACTTTTCTTTTTAAACTTCTGACTGGCCTTTAACCTTCCCTTCTCTGGATGTTTTTTAATGAATTTATTTCCAGTTTCTAATTGTAGAGATATGTCCAATGAGCTCCAGGCTAAGGAGGCTGACCTCAGACAGAAGGCAGAGGATAAGAAAAGAGAAGCTGAGAGGCTGTGTGGCGAGGTTTGTACATTAATACATAAAATGTGATATGGAAGGCCTTTAATTTTAATTTATTTCCGAATTTACTTTCTTAAACAGTCTGATAAAAAACTTTCTATTTTAGGCTGGGCAGAGCTGTATTTCTGGAATAGACCACAGATCCCATGGAAATATGGCACAAGCTAATCCAATCCTTCAACTGGTGGAACAACTGTAAGTATTTTCTAGAGTATAACCATGTTTCGAAACATTTGAATTTGAAACCTGCCACTTTTTCACTTTAAGAGAGTTCTTTCCTTTTTTGATTGTACGTTTCCCTTTTGACGGTTTCTTTCGTCTTTGATGGTTCCTTTCTCCGAACCTTTGATGGTTTCTTTTCCCTTTGACGGTTCCTTTTCCCTTTGACGGTTCCTTTCCCCCTTGATTGTTCCTCTGTCCTCTTTAGCTAGTATGTGTTAATTCTAGGTTGAATGAAGCAGAAGAGCTTAATAGACAAGCTGATCAACATCTTTGGGAATATTTCTTTCATCCTCAAATTTGTTTTACTAGGCTTTTAGTTCAGTTGTGTACATTTTGTCTTTGTAAACAATGTAAAACAAACACAAAAAAAGTTCGCGGATTTTATAAAATTTTTATGAAATTATATAAATCCTATTTAATTAACACAATACACACTCCTTTATTTAATTCATTTTCAGATTTTGGTAGATTAAAGATTAAAGGGACTGTAAGAGTAATTTCAAGTGAACCTCTGTTGACAGATGCCAATGTCCGATTCACAACGGTACCTTAAAAGTTTTGTCTGATCAAGTATTAATTAGATATAAATATTTCAGTTTTTATTTGAAAACAGATAATAATCAACTGTGGTTTCTCTACGCAATTCAAGTGACTTCCGCACTTCTACTGCAGGAAAATACATGATAGGAATTATCAGATATAAACACATTTAAACCTAAACAAAGGAAATTATCTTCATTTTTAAGTATTTATTGATCATAAATAGTTTCAAGGGTACCGATATGAGTGGGGCATTACCACGCTAGTCAATTGAATTCAGGTTAAAAGTCCCTTTTAAGTGCTTTAAGTATTTTTTCTTGAGTCGAGGTTTTTCTAAATATGTCAAATTTTGAATGAAATACTTATTTTCTCAGTGAAATACAGGAGAACAAGGCCAATATTCAGGACCTACAGTCTCAGATTCAAGACGACACCAGCTTTGGGTGAGTCTCTTTGGGCCGGATGGGTTCAGCCGTTTTTAAGTTTATTGGATACCAACGGACAAACAGACAAGCAAAGCAAATACAGGGTGTCACACGAAACATGATAATTGGTGAATAGTTTTGAATGTCTTCTTCCATATACTACATTAGATATTAAAGACTTTTTGCAGTTTAGTTCGTCAAAAAAATTCTATTGATCAAAATTTTTTAACTTTGAAATAATTTATACTTAAAAATAATATACCTGCTATAAAATGTTTTTTTCTTTTCTTTGGTATGAATTCTTCATAACAAATTATGGAAGAAGACATTTTAAACTATTCACCAACTGTCATGTTTGGTGGACACCCTGTATATTAGTGCCGGTTACTGAAATACAGTAATATACAGGGTGTCCCACGAAACATGACAATTGGTGAATAGCTTAAAATGTCTTCTTTCCTGATATGTCAAGGTGTTTGTTGCCAAAGAGAATAATAATACTTATTTGATGGCATCCATATTATAGTAAAATTGATTTCTAAGCAAAATATATTTGAGTAAAGTTTTTTAAACCTAAATAAACTGCAAAAAGTCTTTTATATCTATTACAGCATATGGAAGAGGACATTCAAAACAATTCACCAACTGTCATGTTTCGTGGGACACCCTGTAATACAATTTTAATGGTATATCTAATACCTAATACCTAACACTATTTATTATGCAATATTTCATTAATACTGGATTTTGGATTCCATCACTATTTCATTAAACGGCTTGAATTGATCTATTTGCTGAGCAATGAAGTAAAAATCTCATTTTCACGCGAAATTATTACAAAATTGGTAACTTTGCCCAAAATAATTGGATTGAAATAGAACTATTTTTTTTCAGAGCGGACAAAAACACAATTTAAATACTTAATTCTTATTTAAGTGGTGATCTGAGACAAATAATCGCTGATACCCAAAATAAGGTAAACAAAGGTGGTTCTAGGGGGAGGCCCCAGTCCATTACTCCCCCCCCCCCAATTCTTCCATCTAAATTTCTTTAATTTTGTTACTTCTACATAGTCTCATCTCCCCTCTCTCTGTACATATTTTAACTATGCCAGGAGATAGTAAGTACTTCTTTTAGTCTAGTTCAAGTCCCTCTGAGAGATTAACTTGTTGATCTACTTCCTGCTTGTTTTCTAAACTAAAATACAATGAAAACCAGAAAAATGTGGAATAGGAAGACGACAGAACAACTACACTGGAGTGTATTTGATGATATCACACATATATACTAGCAACTTATTTGATTAATTATTAAGTTAAATGATTCTGTGTTTTAATGCACAATTGCTGTCTTTTAAAGGCATAAATTGGGTCAAAAAGTCGTCTTCCTAATCCTGAGTTTTCAGGTTCTCACTGTATTCTCCAACTTAAATCCTATCTTCTAACCTATCTTTGTATTCCAGTTGACCGAACTAAGAAGTCAGCTGCAGGAAAAAAGGAGGTTTAATATTATTTTGTTTAACCATAAGCATAGAAAGAAAAAAATATACCAATTTACTATTAAACCATTCATGTATATATATATATATGTATAATTTAATATATATATGTATGAAGTATTTCGCGCACATACCGCAATTAGTTAATCTGCCCAAAACTCCAGTATTTTCAATATAATACTCGTTTTTCTTTTAAAGGGAGTGACCAGCAATGTATGGTAGTTGAACTAAAAATGTAGTATTGTTGAGAAATGTTTTATGAATTATTTGGACCTATGAGACCTATTTACGGTACATATTTGTTCATAAAGGGTGCAAATTAAATCTGTAAAGTCATCATAGATTGATCATTTTTGAGGGATGATTTTGAAAATCTGTTAAAAAAAACGTTATTCAATAACAATGACGAAAAATGTAGTAAAAATTTTACAGTAATCTAATTAATTGTTTAGGATTGATAAAATAAAAATTATCTAATATCATAGAAAATTAGTAATCTTATTCAGTTATTGGTTTCTGTAATGTCTCATTGTTCACTAACATCTTCTGTAGATTTAACTAAAATAAACTATTTTTTATCGAAAATAAGTAATCTTATTCAGTTGTTGATTTCTGTAATGTCTCATTGTTCACTAACTTTTTTTTTGTAGATTTCCTGGAATGAAAAAATAATAATTTATGCAACATTGATTTATTGAGAACATTTCTATTGAGAAATACGTTCCTTAACATCTATAAAGTTTTCTGTAGATTAAAAAAAAAAAATTTTGTCGTCGTTATTTAATAATTAAAAAATCGAGTTTTAAAACGTAACTGCCCAAATAGATGATTTTGATAGTCAACTTTGTGCTCAAAAAGTTATACATCATTAAAACGTTTAATATGTTTCAAACGAATCCTAAAAAATTTCTCCACAATGCCACATTCTTAGTTCAACTACCATACATTGCCGGTCACTCCCTTTAATTGCCATGATTTGTAGGTTTTTAAAAATTTTGAGAAACCAAAAACTAAAAAAAATTAAAACCCACCTTTACTCATAATTTTTTTCCTGGAAGTTTATGAAACAAAACAATTATTTAGAATGTTATTTTATTTAGAGAATCTGAAGAGAAGAGAGAAAGAGTAGCAAGATTTAGGTAAAAAATATACCGGGTGTCTTTGAAAACGGGGAATAAGGGTGAACTGACTCGTTTGTAATCGGATTATCAAGATTTAAACCATTTTTAAAATTTAAGTGCAGTTTCCGATTCAATATACCCATTTTTAGGCTTGTAGATTAAAAATTAAACAATTTTATAGACTCCTAAAGTTTCCGATTGAGTGATTTGAAAATCTGATTACAAACGATTCTGTAGACCCTTATTCCCCGTTTTCAACGTTACCCTGTATATTTTTTAGCTTTAATGTGAACTTATGATATTCAAAAAATATATTCAAATATTTTTCGTTAGTGGGGGTTTTTATTAACCTTAATTTTAGCTTTTCAAATAATTTTTCAACCCATTCTTGCTGTAGAAATCCATTCTTTTGAAACATGATCACATTCTTGCTGTAGAAATCCATTCTTTTGAAACATGATCACATTCTTGCTGTAGAAATCCATTCTTTTGAAACATGATCACATTCTTGCTGTAGAAATCCATTCTTTTGAAACATGATGACATTAACAGTTAATTAAAAAAGTGGAACTGAATTATTTCTTAATTCTTATTTTTATAAAGATACATATTTTTATCAAACGTAGCCTAAACTCGCTTAAAAACTGTATACAGTCCCTTGATAAAAAAATATATTACCGCAGGGCGGAAGTGGATCGACTGACTCCGGATATATCAAGGATTAAAGAGGAAGCAGATATTGCAGATCAGCAGGTGGGGCGGATGGGGGGGGGGGGTTATCCAGGTTATTTCTTTAATATTTACCGATTTTCAAATTTTTTGTCTAATTTTTTCGCTTATTTTTATGCTAAAACTTGATGAACCATTCAGAAATTAAGATAATTTTATAATCTCTCTTTCTTTAATAGTTCATATTTGGGGTTTGACTCAAGAGTAAACATTTTTTTGTGCAGTTTTTGGTTGATATTTTGCTTCTTGGATCCAGGGATTCGCATATTTTTGCAGATCCAGATCCGGATCCAGGAAGCCAAAATCTTGCAGATCCAACGGATCCGGATACTAAGCACTTCCTTGTTAGGTACTTTCCCAAAGGCCGTTTCCCAAGAAAAAACTTTCAAAGGGTATTTACCCAAATGAAAACTTCCCAAGTCTGTCCTAGCCACGGCGCTTGGCACCCTAGACTGTTCTAGCCGCAGCGCTAGACCCCTGTTTAGCCTTCAACACTTCAGAAGGCTTAACCTAACCTTTGGAAAGTTGCCGCTTGGGAAATTGCACATCTGGGAAGTTCATTCCCAAGAAAAAACTTTCAAAGGGTATTTACCCAAATGAAAACTTCCCAAGTCCGTCCTAGCCACGGCGCTTGGCACCCTAGACTGTTCTAGCCGCAGCGCTAGGCCCCTGTTTAGCCTTCAACACTTCAGAAGGCTTAACCTAACCTTTGGAAAGTTGACGCTTGGGAAATTGCGCATCTGGGAAGTTCCCACTTGGGACATTGTCACTTGGGAAGTCCCCCTTGGGAAAATGCTAACACCGTAATCCTGTATATTGTATACCCTCTGTAAGTTTATAATGGGGCGTGTCAATTTTTAAAAACCTTTTCAATTTAAATTCTTTCAATATTAAATCTGTGCAAAAATTCTTTATGGATGCCCTATGACCATATGCCAATCCCACTATGACTGTACAAAGCTTGGCTCGAAATAAGTATTTACAATTCACAGATGAAGCTGTTATATTTTTTTATCAAAATATTAGTTATTTACGACTTTGGCTACCTTAATTAAATATTTAAAACTATTGTTTTTGCTTGCCACACACATCTGACATTTTGCCAGACTACCAATTCATCAGTACAGGATCCAGTTTGATTTATTATTTGATTTTCTAGGCTGAACAAGCAGATAGGGAGGCTGATAGGATTGATCAAGAGCTTCAGTTCAACAATTGATTAGAGGCGGAAACAACCTACTCTGGTTAGGCGGGTTGTGATTTTTTATTTGTATTATCTCATGCTATGTAGTTGAATAAAGATATGAATAAATGAAATGTTCTCTAAACTAATATTGATTATTAGCTATGTATACCGAGGTTCAGAGTATTACTTTTTACAATCATATACGAACACACAGACAAAATAAATATCTGTTTAAGACCTAGTTTTCCTGGTTATGATTGTATTTTTGTTTTAGTTATAGCGTATTTTATTTCTAGTATCAATTATTAATAGTAATTCATAATCTTGGGATTTCCAAATGGTGGTCTGCCATTTTTATTCTAAAGATGAACGAAAATATTAAGAAGGTTGCTAAGAACTAATTTTCAAAACAAAATCAAAATTGTGTAGATATATAGATAGAATTGTTGTGGTACAAAGAAGCTTGCCGATTATTTGAAAAGGTCAAAAGATGAAAGACCATACAACCTCTTTTTGATACACTTTTGACTCTAAATTCCCATATGTTTATTGGGACCACTGTGTAAGTAAATAGGTAAAACTAAACAAACAAAAGAAAAATAGATTTATAGAAAAACAACTGTAATCGATCTAGAACTGTCTTTTATACCTCAATTTCTTGCTCAACTATAAATATAAAAAGTATACCCAGAAAAAGTGACTTGATCTGAGATCAAATATTTTTCTTTTTTTGGGTTTTTTTTTTTAATGCTAGCTCTTAGTCTTACTAAACAATTTCTAATTTATTCAACTTTAATAAGAATTTAACATTTTAGCTTTTGTACAAGGAAGACACGCATTTTAATGGCCCAATTAAAGAATGTTCTTGAATCTTGTTTTTATCTCAGGTTGAAGGCAAGGTGAACGTGTTTTCTTTACTTTAATGTAATTGAAAAGAATAGCTGAAGAATATAAGAGAGGAACCGTATTAAATACATTATATTTATTCCCTGGGAATTAGATTACTGTCCTTGTCTCGTGATTAGATCAATATCTTTATATTATTATATTAGGACTACAGGGTGTAACATATGTTAATATAATCATCAATTTTGTGATTGTAAACTCTATCTGTATACAGATACATTTATTTTAGCAATACACTTTATCTTATCTTATCTTATCATATTAGGACTACAGGGTGTAACATGAACATAGAAGGACTACAGGGTAAAACATTAACATATTAGAACTCCATAGACCAGCATGAAAATATATAAGGACTACAGGGTGTAAAATGCATATAGTCTCATCCTATGATCGTAATCATCTATATTAAGGGTATCAATTTATATGGTACACCCTAAAGAGAAGCTCCCAATGTAAATGCAGATCCAATAAAATANGTCCTATTAAGGGTATCAATTTATATGGTACACCCTAAAGAGAAGCTCCCAATGTAAATGCAGATCCAATAAAATACAAATATTATCTTGATTAGATTGTTCCATCAATGCTCAAGATAAAAGATAAAGAAAGAGCTTGTTAATCCTGGGCCCGTAATCTCTCTTTACTTTTTCTTTTCCCTCTATTCCCACTTTTCCCAATACAACTGTGTCAAAAGTACACCAAAACGTTTATATGTTTACATGGTCCGGACGTATAAATAATATTATCAATTTTATCTATTAAAATTTAAAAATTATTAAATTCAATTAATAATTTTTAATAGTTTCTCAGACTCCTCTGGGATATCGTCGTTTTCAGATAGGTTGCATATTTGTTGAATATGATCTGTTTTTATACAAAATCTTACATAATTATGTATATACGTTTTGGTATAATTTTGACAGATTGACAATTTCTCTAGACAAGAACATCATATAGAACTTTTATAGGTCTCAATCAGCTCCTAAGATTCTCAGGTTTCACCCTTTTAATTTTTTCTTTACAGTTCCTACAAGTAAATGTAAGAATCTAACACCAGTGTCTTCCCAACTTATAGTACTGCTGAGGACATCATATAAATGTCGAAATATATTTACTGAAAAAGTGGACGCCATCGTTTATTTTTAACCTTGGTTTGGTTTAACCTTCCACCAAATAGAATACTTTAATTGAAAACTGAGAATATTTTCTAATATTTACTCAGAGTAGGTTTTAAAGGTTTCGTGAAAATCAAACATGACCGTTAACTTGAAATTNGGGATAGGTTGATAGGGGATAGGTTGATAGGGGATAGGTTGATAGGGGATAGGTTGATAGGGGATAGGTTGATAGGGGATAGGTTGATAGGGGATAGGTTGATAGGGGATAGGTTGATAGGGGATAGGTTGATAGGGGATAGGTTGATAGGGGATAGGTTGATAGGGGATAGGTTGATAGGGGATAGGTTGATAGGGGATAGGTTGATAGGGGATAGGTTGATAGGGGATAGGTTGATAGGGGATAGGTTGATAGGGGATAGGTTGATAGGGGATAGGTTGATAGGGGATAGGTTGATAGGGGATAGGTTGATAGGGGATAGGTTGATAGGGGATAGGTTGATAGGGGATAGGTTGATAGGGGATAGGTTGATAGGGGATAGGTTGATAGGGGATAGGTTGATAGGGGATAGGTTGATAGGGGATAGGTTGATAGGGGATAGGTTGATAGGGGATAGGTTGATAGGGGATAGGTTGATAGGGGATAGGTTGATAGGGGATAGGTTGATAGGGGATAGGTTGATAGGGGATAGGTTGTACCTGGATAGATACTTTTCCAGGACTTGCTTCGGAGTAGGCCTTTACTAAAAGATGACATTCGGGTCGAGTTGTTACTGTCATGTTTTATGGGACACCCTGTAGAAAGTTGATATATAAAAGTATGGAGGGTCAATGCCAGGATGAGCGGGGTTGAATGGTGGGGATGGGGGGTGGGGGGGAAGGTTACTTTGTGCAAAATTGAAATTTAAACACTGAAATTTTGATTTTATAGATTTATGGGGAAGAAGTTTTCTCAACTTTTGATGAGTTAAATCAAATGAAGGATTTTTTCTAAAGTTATAAAGAAGGTGTCAAATGTGTCAAACCTTGTATTAAAAAAACAGAAGATTTTGCCAATTTTTTAAACGATGATTGTTCACGTTAAAAAAAACATTTTAGTTTTACCTTCATTACTTTAAGCCTAACATTTTGAATTTGTTCTTGAAATCAAACTACCGACAGCATCTCAAAAATATAATGAACAGAATTTTGATTGGAACTCATTTTGATTGCAATTTTATTAATTTGAACAAATTTTGATTGCAATTTTGTTAATTTGAACTAATTTTGATTGCCCTATTATTTCAATAGATACAAAATCACGCATTTTCTCTCAAGTTTAATGATGAAGTATACGGGATAGAGATGTGAACGTTTTGATTTTTCTAGATTATAGCTTTCGTTACGATAGTGTTCATCAAAAGTAAATACATTTAAAACGTTACGTTGCACATTATGAAATTTTATGGCATAGAGTAACGTTACGTTATGAATTCTCTGCACTTGAATACCTTATATACAACGTTAAGCTTTAGTAAATGTTAATGAAAAACAGTAATCTCCGTTACGCTTTTGAATTTCCCGTTTTAAAAAACTTTTCAATGTTGCGTTAAAGCTTATGTAATATAACCACAATTTTTTAACGTTCCACTTTCATGCAAGGTAAATATTTTCAGAGACCTTACGTTACATTTTCACTTGGTTTAAGATCTAGAAGATAACAAACGTTTTGCTTTCATAAAACGTCAATTGGGGCATAGTTCTGTACGTTACAATGCATTTCAGTGCAAAGAATATTTTTTGTTAACGTTACGTTTTATCTTAACTTTTCTAATATAAACTCTTTTAATTACGTTTAGAAATTTTACTTAAATGCACCTTTTCTTACGTTACGATTTATCGAAACGTTATTGTGAAAACTTTTTTGCTACACTTTTTTACAACTGACAATCAAAACTGTTTATTCGTTTAGTTTTTCAGAAAGATTTGAAAAAAAATTCTATACGTTGCCTTGTATTAAAATGTTCAAGCCTTAATGTTTCTTACGTTACACTTTATTAAAATAATATTGTTTCTAAATGAAAGCATTGCAAGATTTTTTTCGTGACAATTACATTTTTTACTCACCCTGTATGTTGCTGTTGTATTGAATTAACCTTTTTAGAGATTGTGTAGAAGAATATGCATTATGCAATATAAAGATGTTATACAATTATTATTTTTAACGATTTAAAAAAAATTTGTGAATGAAAGTTTTTACCATTAGACTTTCAACTCAAAGTGTGTCTTAAAGGGACTAGAGACGTAATTTCAAGTGACCTTCCATTTAAAAAAAAATTTAAAAATTGTCCACAGGGTTGCGATTTGACGATTTAATATTGGAGAATTCACCGTAAGGCCACAAAAAAAAATTTTATTTTTTATTTTTATGTTATACATCATTTTCTTGGAAATTCAGTGCTGAATTCAAATCTGAAAAGAGTTTGAAAAAAATGAAAATTGAGTGAGTTAGAGCTAAAAAAACTCATCAAAAACATTAAAAAATTACAAAACCGAAATTTAGTACCGTTATTTGGCCATAAATTCTTCAGATTTTAATATTTTTTTAAATGGTTTTCAAATCTGAATTTAGCATGAAATTTTCAAGAAAATGATGTATCATATTTATTTTTGAAAATATTTTTTTGTGCCTTACGGGGATTTCTCCTATATTAAATTGTCCATTCGCAACCCTATGGACGATTTTGAAATTTTTTTGATTACAATATTTTTTTTTAATTTAAAACGCAGCAACCTCAGGTGGGCGGCTGGCTGATTTCTAAAAAAAGTCACAAATCAATTACCCTTAATGTCCAGCATACATTTACAAGATAGGAAAACACTCCTAATTTTCAAATCATCAAAATCAGATAAAGGTATACACGTTATCATGGCCCTCTTTAAATGGGACACTTCATAAAATGAGTTAAAATTCGGCAAGGCAAACCACTTTTGTATGTGGAACAGTAGTTCTAAATTATTTTAGATTAGTTTAGGGTTAATTTTTTCTTTTTTTACGCAATGCAGACTGACCCTTTTCTTCTATTATAATTATAATTTGTGGCAAATTTTTAGTTCTTTTTGTGCTT